ACCACATTTATTCAAATAAATTTTCACGCAAGAGTGAAAAAAAAAAAAAAAGAAAGAAAAGCTCCACAAACTGTCGGTTGAAAGCGCCAATAGTTAGTCAGCCAATAGTTAGTTAGTCAATGGTCAATTTTGTATTAGTTGACGAATGTGCATTTTTGGTCAGTTTTCCATCTTGCATTTATTAATGTTTTATTTCCACAATAATTGTGATGAACGTTTCATGTTGTTTAGTGTTTCTTCTTTTTTTTTTCTTCAAATTTCATTAAATATTTCTGATTTATTTATTTATTTATTTTTTTTATGTTTTTAATGTATTCATTTACAACCAGTGTTCAATGTACTGTTATTTATTCATTTATTATCTAATGATTTGAATTGTTTTGTTCCATAAATTTTCTATTATGTTATTTATATATTTTAATTTTTTACAACTATTTCTTAATATCAGTTGTTGTTTTCTTCTCTTTTCTTTCCTTTTTTTTTTTTTTTTTTTTTTTTTATATTTTTTTTTTTTTTTTTTTTTTTTTTTTTTTTTTTTTTTTTTTTTTTTTTTTTTTTTTTTTTTTTTTTTTTTTTTTTTTTTTTTTTTTTTTTTTTTTTTTTTTTTTTTTTTTTTTTTTTTTTTTTTTTTTTTTTTTTTTTTTTTTAAATAAGTAGTCATATGCTTTTGGTTTAAGCATTAAATCCTTAAATTATTTTTAACCCTCGGTTTCTATGACAACAATGTGTTGACAGAACAATGTGCCCAAATTTCAAATTCAACAAATAATTGAAATGGTCATTGTAGTACATTTCAATTAGTTTTAGCCCCCCTCGCCCTCCCCTTTTACAAAACCACCCACTTCCGTCCAATCAATTATTCCCCCATTTAGCAGCCTATACAATGACCCACCTCCCAAAATGTTGTGACTCCTTGGGTTTGGAAATATAGCACCGATGTATCAAATGAATGACACGTAGAGATTCTTTTTAATTATATGTATACCTTATATACGTGGTCAAACTGTGTTTCCATACTTTCTCATCATCTTTGGCTGTGAGCGAGTAGCTTGTGGACGAATTGATTCATTATCTAGGTGTCACTTTTTAAAAGACGCTATTTACATTTTTACTTTTTCTTCATGCTTGCACGTGTAGTGTTATTTTGTATTTTACTTTTTAAACTTAATGTTCATAAACTTACTACAAACTATGATACCTACTCATTATTTTCCCACGCTGCAGTATAAACTGTTTATTTTAATTTTTTAGTTGTTTTTTTTTAAAAAGAGGATGATTTTTAAAATAATAAGCCTGTCTTAGATTTGCTCATTATTATTAATTCTATACAAAATATTTAGTAACTTCTGTCAAGATTTTTAAATAAAGGGAAAGATAAATGGAGGATACAAATTTATAAGGTAGAAAAAAATTTTCTCCTCCAATCAAAATTGAACGTTACAGCCTAACTATTATCGAATATTTATATTGTTTCAATTTACCGTTTAATGTTTTTTCTATGAGAGTACCAATGTCCCATTTTTTTTTCTAGTATAACAACAGAACGCCCCCATTTCATAACCGGAGACGGCACTTATATTAATAACTAATTGTAAAGTAAAAAGCCACCCAACGACAACTGAGGAGTCGCCAATTTTGAAAAGAATTTTATTAAAATAGAAGGCATGTCAAAAAATGGTAATATTTTAGTATTTCCAAATTCAAAGTGTTATAATATATTTTATATATATATTTTTTTTTTGGTCACGTTAGCTTATACTTATATGTTATCGTACACTTATCACTTATCATACCATTATCATTCATGGTGTATGCTAGGGCGTGAGAGGAATGTACATAAATATTTCTTAGCTCTGTAAGCTCATTTTAAATTATTTCTTGGACTAATTGTGTATCTCTTAACTCTTGAGTGCCAATAAACTGTTAGGTTTTTTTCCCTTTCTTCCAAACATTGAGTTTTTAGATTATCTTTTTTTAAAATAAGCTTTGTTCCACTCCACTGGATGGTTAATATTTTTTTTTTCATTCGCTTTTCTTTTTTAATGTACTTCGAATAGCTGGATGGTCAAACTTGGATGTACTTCGAATAGCTGGATGGTCAAACTTGGATGTACTTCGAATAGCTGGATGGCTTTATGTACATTGTATTGTAATGTGTGAACTCAGTCTTGGTGTGAATCTGTTGATCTCTTCGCGTTTGTCACCGTCTGTGTGGTCGCGTTATTCAGTCAATAAGTAAACATTCCTATATGTCTTAACTAGTGCAAACTAGGCGTACAAAATACAGCTGATGTAAACCGGATCTGCAACAATAAACTGGTGTAAACTAGGTCTAGAAAGGAAAACTGGTGCAAACTAGGTCTAGAAAGGAAAACTGGTGCAAACTAGGTCTAGAAAGGAAAACGGGTGTAAACTAGGTCTAGAAAGGAAAACGGGTGTAAACTAGGTCTAGAAAGGAAAACTGGTGCAAACTAGGTCTAGAAAGGAAAACTGGTGCAAACTAGGTCTAGAAAGGAAAACTGGTGTAAACTAGGTCTAGAAAGGAAAACTGGTGTAAACTAGGTCTAGAAAGGAAAACTGGTGTAAACTAGGTCTAGAAAGGAAAACTGGTGTAAACTAGGTCTAGAAAGGAAAATTGGTGTAAACTAGGTCTAGAAAGGAAAACTGGTGTAAACTAGGTCTAGAAAGAAAAACTAGTGTAAACTAGGTCTAGAAAGGAAAACTGGTGCAAACTAGGTCTAGAAAGGAAAACTGGTGCAAACTAGGTCTAGAAAGGAAAACTGGTGTAAACTAGGTCTAGAAAGGAAAACTGGTGTAAACTAGGTCTAGAAAGAAAAACTAGTGTAAACTAGGTCTAGAAAGGAAAACTGGTGCAAACTAGGTCTAGAAAGGAAAACTGGTGCAAACTAGGTCTAGAAAGGAAAACTGGTGTAAACTAGGTCTAGAAAGGAAAACGGGTGTAAACTAGGTCTAGAAAGGAAAACTGGTGCAAACTAGGTCTAGAAAGGAAAACTGGTGCAAACTAGGTCTAGAAAGGAAAACTGGTGTAAACTAGGTCTAGAAAGGAAAACTAGTGTAAACTAGGTCTAGAAAGGAAAACTGGTGTAAACTAGGTCTAGAAAGGAAAACTGGTGTAAACTAGGTCTAGAAAGGAAAACTGGTGTAAACTAGGTCTAGAAAGGAAAACTGGTGTAAACTAGGTCTAGAAAGGAAAACTGGTGCAAACTAGGTCTAGAAAGGAAAACTGGTGTAAACTAGGTCTAGAAAGGAAAACTGGTGCAAACTAGGTCTAGAAAGGAAAACTGGTGTAAACTAGGTCTAGAAAGGAAAACTGGTGTAAACTAGGTCTAGAAAGGAAAACTGGTGTAAACTAGGTCTAGAAAGGAAAACTGGTGTAAACTAGGTCTAGAAAGGAAAACTGGTGTAAACTAGGTCTAGAAAGGAAAACTGGTGTAAACTAGGTCTAGAAAGGAAAACTGGTGTAAACTAGGCCTACAACGTTAAAATGAAGTAAACTAGGCCTACAGTAACAAAGTTTAACTTGATTAAACTTGGCCTACAGAGTTAAACTGGTGTAATATAGTCCTACAATAACAAAGTTAAATTTGGCCAACAGAGTTAAACTGGTGTAATATAATCCTACAATAACAAAGTTAAATTTGGCCAACAGAGTTAAACTGGTGTAATATAGTACTATAATAACAAAGTTAAATTTGGCCAACAGAGTTAAACTGGTGTAATATAGTCCTACAATAACAAAGTTAAATTTGGCCTACAGATTTAAACTTGTATAATATAGGCCTACAATAACAAAGTTAATGCTAAACTCTTTCGGTCACACTAATTCACTTACTCGTTACACTCTTAACGCTACACTAAGTCGTTATCCCTAAACTTAATTGAACTTAACTAAAATTCACTGAACTGAACTGAATTTAACTAAACTTCACTGAACTGAATTGAATTTAACTAAACTTCACTGAATTTAATTGAACTTAACTAAACTTCACTGAACTGAACTGAACTGAACTGAACTTAATTGAACTTAACTAAACTTCACTGAACTGAACTGAACTTCACTGAACTGAATTATTTATTTATTTTTTTTTAAATGTCGCTTAATGTTCTTAGCTGCAGCCGGCCGACCCGCTGATCCGGTTCCTCGAATCTCAAATATTTCTCGTATCTCAAAGCAAAACATCGCTCGCTCGACGGCTCGTATCTCAAAAATCTCGTATGTTAGGGCAGTCGTATGTCGAGGTACCACTGTATATATACAGGATTTTTTGTGACCGGTATGCCCATTTCTGTGTAGCGGCACCCCCTTTGGACTGATTTTTTTTTTAAATTAGTAATCTCAAATCTTACATAAACATTTTAAAACAACATTACTGTTTAGTAACTAGTCATATTAAAGGATTTATATAGACCCAGCTAGGTAATTGAAAATTAAGGTCTCATTAGCATTTCTTATGTTCTTCTCCCGTTAAGTGTAGAACGCTACAAAACTAAATTAAGGTATGTGCCAAAATGCATCCTTGCATTTTGAAATTATCAAAACATTTGTGGGAAAAGGAGCTCAGTCGCCTTTCCAGACCCCAATTCGCTCGATAGACTTCGGTAGGCATCGTCGATTTCCGCTCCTCCCTACCCCCACTTTCGTCGATCAAAGTGCCAACGGCGGGCCGCTCTTCATCGACAAATAAGCATTCAAGCAGCATTGTATGTAACGCATTTAAGAAATATATTTCGTTTTTAACATAAACGATTTATTTATCTGTTGTTGTTGTTTTTTGTTTTTTTGGCGGCAAAAGTAGATGTGTTATGGTCTGATAATAGCGTGCATCAAAACTTGTGTGTACATCGCTTCTTTGGCTCAAATTTCCGTTATTTGGGTTTAACTGACTTCTGGTTTGCGACTCCTACGTTTAGCATAAGAGGTCAACATCTATGAGTGCATTCTACAAGTTACAGCTATGAGTGCATTCTACAAGTTACAGCTATGAGTGCATTCTACAAGTTACAGCTATGAGTGCATTCTACAAGTTACAGCTATGAGTGCATTCTACAAGTTACAGCTATGAGTGCATTCTACAAGTTACAGCTATGATTGCATTCTACAAGTTACAGCTATGATTACATACCACAAGCTACAGCTATTATTACATACCACAAGCTACAGCTATTATTACATACCACAAGCTACAGCTATTATTACATACCACAAGCTACAGCTTTTATTATATACCACAAGCTACAGATATGATTGCATCCACAAGCTACAGCTGTGATTACATCCCACAAGCCTGACCCCAGACTTTATCTCTTATGTTTTATCCAGATCTAAAGAAATGTGTATAACCCCTCAATAAAATGAGACTCCGTGTCTGTGTTGACAACCCTGTTTTAAATAAAGTAGCTTTAAAATTGTCTGGCCTGTCACTTGGTCCACACACGCTGATTTAAACAGCGACGCCCCCGGCTCAGACCAGACCACCCCGTCGACTACAACCGCCTTTTCCTCTTGAGTTATTGTGTAAAAAGCTGTGCAAAGAGTCAGTGGGGACGGTTACAGTCAGCAGACGTGAAGCCGACAGCAGGTAAGCTCTGTGCTGTTCGTTTCGCGTGGATGAATGTTGATATTGAGCCATCTGTGGTTCACTCTACAAGTTGTATGTGCTGCTTCATATCGAAAATAATATTTTCTGACGTTACAAGTCGGTGCATAATCCGCTCTATCCTAGGGATGCAGGCAGTTTTTATTGTCACATCCCACGGATAGGGTCAGTTTCATTGCTCTATCATACTATCAATGAAATGTAGCTCTGTCATTAGTCATTATTATATGGAGTGAGTAGTATGACATAATTTAAGAGTGTATCTGTAAGATTATGTTAGAGAATGATACGCAAGGAGTTAAAAAGTAAGAGTAGTACATGCTGGAGTAGCCTGTGGCTTGTATTTGGATATGACATGAAAGAGTATTTCATTTTCATTGAAGGGTATTCCTCGTAAGAATATGCTATGCAAGAGTATGACATGTTAGAGCAGCGGTTCTCAACCTGTGGGTCGCGACCCTTTTGGGGGTCGCGCGACCCTTTTCCAGGGGTCGCCTAAGACCATCTGAAAACACATATCCTTACAGCTATGAAATAGCAACGAGAATGGTTGTGCGGCTGGGGGTCGCCACGACACGAGAAACTGTATTAAAGGGTCGCGGCACTAGGAAGGTTGAGAACCACTGTGTTAGAGTATGCCATATACGATCATGACCCTTGACCTTATTTCTTTGCAAACCGCGGTTGTAAAACATCATCGTTGTAGGTTCATGCCATGTAACAGATTCATTGTGGTGCAACTTCGGTATGAATCTGTTATATTGACAACGTCAACCTTATTCCAAGTTTTTTTTAAAAAAATGCTTCGTCATTGTCGCACAGTGACGAAGCATTTTTTTTTTAAAGCTCTGTATAAAAACGCATACCTGCAACCTTGCTATAGGCATAGGGACTACGGGGGTCGTACATGAGTGGGTCCGGGGGAGAGGGGGGAGGCAATGCGTTTTTCACATACATTAAGTAAGCATTGGGGATTTGTGATACGATATTAATGTTGAAAGCCCACAGATTTAAGAGGCTCCACTCATTGGATAAGCTAGAGACGGGCCTTGATTAGTGCGGCCTCTAATGTAACGAACAACCACATTGCTTACAGGATACGCTAGAAACTAAGCTGTGTAACGTGGGTGGAAAATGCCGCCCCAAAATAAGTGGCGTCCGCAGCGGTCCGACCCCGTCTCACCCCACCCACCCCCACCCCCCAGCCTCGTTTCTTCCTCCGTCCGCGCCTTCATTAGTCATTTATTTGACAATATAGATCCTATAAACGCCTGGATAACAACCATTCATCAGAAGTCCGTACGTCTTTTTGGAGCGTGACACGACCTAAGACGCAGCAATCGTATGAAGCAAAGTCGACGAATAAGACAAAAAACAAACCAGTTTTCTTATGTCTTCCTCGTGTCAAGCCATCTACGATGTTCGCGGTGACGTGTGCAGCTTTATCGATTGCTTACCTACAAGTCCACAGTGCACAATGCGAGTTTCCCCGATCGATTTGCGGGGGGGGGGGGGGGGAGGCACAGACTGTTTTAATGGCACCACAGAACGGAATCCCGTCCTTGGGTGTGTATGATTAGAGTGTGTCAGTCTTCTTCTTAAACCACTGAAAGCAATAAAGTCCTGTAAAGAAAATGGCATGAACTGCTCCAAACCAATATACAATGTGTATGGAGTCGTCAGGATAAAAAGTACAAATAAAATGCCACATCGGCCAAAGCATAGAATCGCCACATCATCGATTTTGACTGGGAACCATAGATCTGGACGCATGCACATCATTATTTGCATGTAGATCTAATCTGCATTTGAATTTAACTCTTTTTTTCCATCTGGTCTCCTCCGTTTCCAGCTACTGAAAAAAAAGTCAATAAATCCATTTTTTTTTTTAAAATATAAATCATAATTGGGGTAACAAGCAAAAATTATAATCAAGTTTGGCTTAACATCTCGTTACTCAATGTTGAACTAACATCAGGAAAAATACTCTGATTGTTTGTTGGCTATGGCGACTGACACCTACTGTGCTGTTAGATTGAATCGTTGGGTGCCTGGTACCGCAGATCGTACACATATGGGGCCTAAATCTAACCAATAAGATATGTTCTTTTTTGTAAGGCATGGGGAAATTTGATGCTATATTTTAATTTTGGGGAAGACTCCACGAGTTCCATTTTGAGGAATCCTTAAAATTAAGTTTCTCATATCAAATTTGTTCCCACGTTCATCTATCGTTATCTCATCAAAACTGTCCAAGGGTCCTTATTCCAAGGACAACGTCAACCTTATTCCAAGTTATCTACCATCTGGTCGCGCAATAATTCAAACCCATGGCCCAGCCCGCTAGAGGAATACAATACAACCTTCTCGCTCAACGTCACGGATACCTACAATCACGTCATGATTACGTCACAATCCTAATGACGCCAGGAGCGTTCATCAGCGAAACTAATCCCCCAAGACACACCGCCCGCAATAAAACGCAACATTATTGTATGGCTAGCAACAAAACGGGAAGATAACTCCTAGCAAATCAAATCAGATGTCATACACGAAATTTCATGTAAGGCTAAAGATAAAAAATTATTGAATACACATTTTTTTTTTAGGATTCCCAGATACATTTTCCATAATAAACCGGACAACTTCCCATCCTTCTCCTACCAGAGGTATTCCGCAAGGAGGATCCGAGATGATCAGGGAGGCATATTATTAATATTTTCCGGTATTTATTTTTTTTTTGTATCCCCCCCCCCCGCCCAGGGACATCATTTGAGTATAGCAGGGGGGTAGTGGCCCCTCCTGAATTGCTGAATATTCAGGTTTTTATTTAAATTGTTATGTACTGTTGCGCCTCCAAGGATAAACAACTCAACAAGCCGGGCGCCAAGTTCTGGTTTTTTCCCCCTCACACCCCTTCCTACGTCACTGCTGGTGCCCCTCCCCCTCGCACGGCCTGCCTGGCAACCGTAATATTTCTACCCAAATGCTTTATCACCCCCAAAAAAATTCCATTTCTCCGCTAGGCCCGCCGAGTCACCAAGAGCAAACTTCAGAGCAGTTATCGAACCTTACAAAAGCCATGTTTGCTTACATTGCGCTCATGAGGCTCTGACATTTAAACAGACCTGGTTAAGTAGATCAAGATTTTAAGCCCCGTCTGCAGGGCCGAGGATTCGAGAGTTGTTGTTGTTGTTGTTGTTGTTGTTGTTTTTCTGTTAGATTGTCTGAAAAGGGCTTAGTGGAGAAAGACGTAACAAAAACAAAAAGAGAGAAAAACTCGCTTGAAATTGACTATCTAAAAATTTTAAAACAAAAGTGAGGCGAATTTAAATTTATCTTTATCGTCTGCATCAATAGTTGCTGATGAAATCAGCTCCAAACACACAAGGCAAACAACGCATGTTTACATCCAATGTAACCCAACACACAGATGCAATTTTTGGGTTCAAATAAACGCTTCAAACACAGCGATGCTGCCAACAATCTTTTGATCTATAACCATTTAGATCATTTCCATATAGAACGCTTCTGTGGACTTCATACAGCCAGTATGCAGGTCATTAGCTCCCTTGATTCCGGCCGTTGAAAAAAAAATGTCAAAGTGACCTGGCTGCATCAACAAAATGTGCGATCAAGCAGCTCAGTCCCTGCATCAGATATATGTTTAATGCCGTTAAGCATGTACACATGACGATGTTTATTTTTCCACCGGATTGGGCAAAGTAGACCAAAGAACTATTGCAAAAATACCTGATTCCCGAGGAAGTTAATGTGAGATTGTTGAATTGGATCAGTAGTTGGGTCTTAACTTGTAAACTTTTGCTACATAGACCAGAATTTAACTTCATAACCATCCATCTCTGAGAATTTTCTAAACGCACAGAAAGTAATGTATGATATTTTGTTTTTCGTTCCGTCAAAGCTTCAAAATAAAATTTCAATCGAATGGTGTTGGTTGGGTCCACAAATTCAAGCGAGTTTGTTGTCTGAGAACATAATTTCAATTAAGGGTGTTGTTTAGGAACAGAGGTTCAATCAAATGTGTTTGCTTGGGCCATAAGTTTAATAAATGATGTTGGCTGGAGCTAGAAGTTCAATCGATGTTCGTTGGCTTGGACCAGAAGTATAATCAATGGTGTTGGCTTGGACCAGAAGTACAATCAATGGTGTTGGCTTGGACCAGAAGTACAATCAATGGTGTTGGCGTGGACCAGAAGTACAATCAATGGTGTTGGCGTGGACCAAAAGTACAATCAATGGTGTTGGCGTGGACCAGAATAACAATCAATGGTTTTGGCTTGGACCAGAAGTACAATCAATGGTATTGGCGTGGACCAGAAGTACAATCGTTGTGCTGTCTGGAGCTAAAAGTTCAAGCAATAGTGTTGGCTGGGGTCAGAAGTTAAATAAATGGTATTGACTGTGTCTTAACATGTATCCCCCCACCCCGCATCATAGTAGGGTTTCTCCCTGTGTCTAAACAAAAGTAGTGTCCTCACTGCGTCTTAAGGCTGTTTCCCGGTTCACTTATCTAAACTTATTTCAACAATGCGGATTTTTGTACAATGTGGCTATTACAGCGTCCCTCATCAACTCTACACTTTAATGTTTCTCATCTCCAATTCTTGTTCTCCGCTGCATATCATTTAGTTTCCATACAACTCGACTGTGCATTCGTGTGTTATTGTTTTTTGTTGTTGTTTTCCTCACATTTAATCAACCTTCGTACAACAATTCAATGTTATTGAACAATAATATCCCTAGCTTGACCATTAAACCAACCAATAAAAAGGGCATGAACAAATGCATGTATGAATGAGCTTTTCCCAATTTATTTATAACTCTGGGAAAATCCGTCAGTTTCAGCTCTTACAAGGCAACAATCATCATGGGGAAAAAGATTCTGGTCATCCTCACAAGTGCTGACAAGTTCCCAACAACCGGGAAGCCGACAGGCTGGTATCTGCCAGAACTGGCCCACCCGTACAAAGTGTTGGTGGACGCTGGGTTCACGGAGTTCGACGCCATCAGCCCTAAAGGTGGGAAGGCGCCGTTGGTATGTTGATCACGTGAATGGTCGTCTTTGTTTATTTGATGAAACACATTTGTGGGAGAAGCCTGATTACAGGAACGATAATTTAACTTCTAGAAACTTCTTTGCGTTGCACTATGTGTAATACAGTGTTTCTCAAATGATGTTCCGCGCGCAGGCGCCGGTCCGGGAGCCTTACGTTGCCGGTCCGCACAACATGATCGTGAATATTTCTAGTCAAACTAAACAAAAATGCAATTCATAAATCCTTGAACAGGTCTCTAATGCGATTTCAATATTTGTCCACCGCTCCCTGCTGCAATTTCAAAATGTGTCAAATGTGTCCACCGGCCAGACATACTTAACAGTTTGGGAAACGCTGATGTAGCGGACAAAAGAGTTTTCCTTATATTTTCCATTTGTTTTCTTTTTATTAAAGCAATGTTGGCACTTATTTTGTTGTCGCCCCCCCCCCCCGACCATTTCCACTCCAGAGAGATGCATTAAGAACTTTTTAGCTCCAGGACTCACTAACGCCATGTCCTAGTTTACATATTTCACCATGACAACCACATTATTATCCTGAAACCCTGCAAGTAACTGAAATGTTGCATTTCTTTTTAAACAGTACCCTTTGAATTAGTCTGATAAAAACATTATCCCATTACACTGTGGATGACCCTGTAAAGAAAGTTTCTTCTACTGGATGTTTGTTCTACTGGATGTTTGTTCTACTGGATGTTTGTTCTACTGGATGTTTCTTCTACTGGATGTTTCTTCTACTGGATGTTTGTTCTACTGGATGTTTCTTCTACTGGATGTTTCTTCTACTGGATGTTTGTTCTACTGGATGTTTCTTCTACTGGATGTTTGTTCTACTGGATGTTTCTTCTACTGGATGTTTCTTCTACTGGATGTTTGTTCTACTGGATGTTTCTTCTACTGGATGTTTTATTCTTCACAGGATGCTGACAGTATTGAAGCTTTTAAAGACGATGCAGCTTGCCAGTGGTTCCTCAAAGATGCTAAAGCACAGGCCCTAGTGAACAACACCAAGGTTGCTTCACAGGTCAAGGCCAGGTTAGAATTGATCCTGAATAATGACCAAAATTTTAATGAACTAGAAGCCCTTGCTTCCAACTGGTTGGGTTTTCTTTTACTAAAACTTTTATTTGCCAATCAACAAAAAAAATACTAATTTCTATGATATTCCACCCACCTTATCAAACCCATTAAAAGTATGTACTTATTAATAATGAGAGAAGTAAGATAGTTTATATAAAGGTATTTTTTCCCACATACACCCTAATCCAATAAAACCCTCACACAAGTGACAAGTGATAATTTTTTTTTTTAAATAGGTCTATTGCTCTTATCATTCGGTTGTTCATGGTTTGTAAATGTCAAATCCCATTTGCATTACTTTCGTAACTCTATTGTTCAGGTAAATGTTCAAAAAAGTCCAATAAGATAAGATTTGTCATTGATCCAAATAAATGGAAATGATTTTTTGTATTACATTGCACAAATTTATTTTCAGCACATAAACAAATTTTTAACATACATATTTTTAACAAAGACATTTTACAATTATAAAAATTAAAACACATTACATCTAAAGTATTTCTCTAGCATAGAAATCAGCCCAAAATGAACTCCTTTAGTGACAATAATGACTTAATTTGTGATCATTTAGATTTGGTAATCACTGGGGGAACAGCCTGGTACACTCTGTGGAACAAAAGAATTTTTATATCTTTGGGTCCTAACTTTAGGAGAAAGAATTCAAGCTGATCTTAGGTATCTGTGATGAAGTGGGTGGGATGTATCATCCAAAAAAATGTTTAGTTTTACATCATCATTTTCATGTCAGGGATTATTGTCTAACATTCTGCTGTTCCTTTAATTGTCCCCCCCCCCAGTGAATATGATGCAGTTCTGTTTCCTGGAGGTCATGGGCCCATGTTTGATTTAGCAACAGATGCCACCATTGCAAAGATAACCGCACAAGTTTACGACAAAGGAGGAGTAGTTGCTGCTGTCTGCCATGGTCCTGCTGGTAAATTCTTTGTTACTTGGTTTACATATTGTCTTTGGATGTTCATTTATTATTTTATTTTTAAATTCTAATGGGTGACTACTTTAAGTACTCATCCATACAAAAGGTGATAAAATATTTAAAACTAGAAGATATGATCCGTTGTAACCAAGCAAAAAATGACAGGCATAGTGTGCAAATTTCTAACTTCTATAGCGAAGTCCAAAATCTACTAATTGTATGTATGTAACCATCAGGTTTAGAGATATTTTATCCTCAAAATAAAATAAAATTTTGCACAACCTTGAAATGTTTATGTAGTAATTAGTAAATCAAACTTACTCTTTTTTTTTTTTTTAAAGAAGTGCTGGTATCTATGTTCAGATGTTTACATTTCTAACATTAGGCCCACCCAAACTTTTTTTGCAGGCCCCTGAACTACACACAATAATATTATTGTTTTAAATTTATTTTTTATTTATAATAATAATACTTACATTATTAAATATTACTTACAGTTGCATCAAAGCAGATACACTTTATCAAATTTAAATTGATTCGATTTCTGTAAAATAAAGAAAAAATCACTATCATGGTTTTTTAGAAGTTGACTGTAACACATATACACAGACTCATTGGCATATATTTAAATATATATATTTAACATACTTTCTCTTGTTAAAAACTTGTTAGATTTAGCCCCCCCCCCCTTTTTTTTTTTCTAGTTTTTTGTTTTCATTGTTGCCAGAGTTATTGTTCCTAACTCCTGCTCTAGCACACAAAAGGTCATTTTTTTAAAATCTTTTTAGTTTTTCCCCCCCCCCCCCTTTTTTTTTTTCTAGTTTTTTGTTTTCATTGTTGCCAGAGTTATTGTTCCTAACTCCTGCTCTAGCACACAAAAGGTCATTCTCTCCCCTAATTTAAGTAACATTCAGAGCCTGCCCCCATTTTATTATTAGCCATTTCCTGTCAACCAAGTAGAGCTAAGTGCCTATCTTAAGTTGTCTAACTTTCTTGTTGGGTTTGTTATATTGTAGAGTATGGCTGTTCAGCTGAATCAGTCTGTTCTATTGTTTTGTTTTGTTATTCAAGCTTCCTGCTGTCTCTACCCAAACCCACCTTTTGGTAAAAAGCCAAGAGCTGTTTTTAATGACACAACCCAGAAATTTTACCTTACTATTCAGACCCTAAGATGTCATGCATGTGAGACTGTTCTTCTCACTCATCTTTGTTTACCTTACAGGTCTAGTTCCAGTCAAACTTGCCAATGGTGACTCCATAGTCAAGGGTAAGAAAGTGACGAGCTTCTCCAACAATGAAGAAGATGCAGTGAAACTGTCAGAGTACATGCCTTTCATGTTAGAGACTAGACTTGTTGAGTTGGGGGCCACATTCAGCAAGGCAGACAACTGGAAGGAGAATGTTGTGGTGGGTGATATTGAAAAACTTAAAGTGTCCCCAGATCACACTGTAGCCTCCTCAATCTCTTTGTTTCTGCACATTGTGATCTGGGAACATTTTAGTTTATCAATTTAAAATAATGTATTCTCCTTGCTTTGTATTGTCTGCCAAAGAAGGCATTTAGCCAAAATGTTCTTTTATTTGTTAGGTCTTTTTTTCAAATCTTAACATATCTTGTTACACTTTTTATTCACTTCACACAGCTTTGAATGACACAGTCCCCCATACATTATTTAATTTGAACTAGGTTAACATGCATTTTTTTTTTTTTTTTTTTAAATTTAGGATAAAAAGGATAAGATTTGTTCATATTATAGGATAGGACCTGGGAGTGTCCAAAAAAAAAAAGAGGAGGCATATAGGTTTGTGATAAATAAGGGTTGCTTGGATGCCGCTGACCCCCCCTGCCCCCCCCCCTAACTTCAACCCTGTAGTTTATTTCTCATTTTATTTAAATCTACAGGTTGATGGCAGACTGATCACTGGACAAAACCCTGCTTCATCATCCTCGCTTGGCAAAGCTATTGTGGCACAACTCAAGTGATTCAGTCTTTAAGCATGACCTACATTTTCTAAAAACCTCCTTTAAATACTGTAACGTTGGTCGCAAATAATATATTAGTGACTAGTTCTTGGAAAGCTTCGAATTTTGTTTAAATGAAAGCCTTGAGGCAATACAATTAAAATAAATTGTGTTGTTTTCAAACGGAAAGCCATTAATGCGAACTTCATATGGGAACAAATTTGCTTTTTTTTATAAATCAATTTGTTATAAAATTACCAATGGTCCTGTAGCTCTTGAGAAATATTAATTTTAAATGGATTGATGATCTTTGCTTATGGCTAATTGTAGTTAAAGAGGCATTGCTTGTTTCTAAACTTGCTCTGCTTGTATCCAAACTTCCAATGCTTGTTAAACTTTATTATGTATTGGTTTTTAAATTATTTCATAATAAAAAGTAATGTAAAGTTTAATGAAAATAAGTCTTGAGTTTTATATTTATTTTATGTATCTTTGTTTAAAAGACAATTGCTAAGCAGCAGACCCCTATGGATTCTCAAAGTTAATTAGATGTTCCTCAAAAAATATATTAGTATAAATTTAATACACAAACAAGAGCAGTTTAACATATATTTCACTAAGGGGTGCCCGAACCCCCTAGAGGTTGCGGGAGGCAGTGCCAGGGGTTACAGGAGACCCATAAATCATAATTTATTTGGATTTTCATTAGAATTTTTAATGTTGAGGGAGTGGGTTATATGTTTTGAAATCAAGGTGGTGCTGCAAAAGTATTAAAACCCCTGATGTAACTGTCTTGGGGTCAAACAAATTATAAGAAAAATGTATCCATGGCCCATAAAACTTTAAGAAATGCCGGTTTGAAGTTTTTAACATTAAATTACAGCATCAAATAAAGACAAATGTATCTATGCATCTTACAAGTGAAAACCAAATAAAAGCTTTTCAAATGAAAGGGGATCTTTCAGTTTTGTACTAGACTCAGGTGGACCCAAATCTCATGTCTATTACCTTGTTGATTTTACAATCTGAACAATTAAAATATAGCGTGATAAATTGGTCAATAGCATTTGTAATATTTTAAGTTTAAATTTTAAAATTGATTGATGTTCTATTCAATCATTTGCTGGCAAGGAAACGGGTCTCTTTCTTTATATTTATTATCAAGACATTCAAATTATAAATCATATTTTCTTTACTTTCAATTCCAGGTAGCTAAATTATTCAGGGCAGGTTTTTGCTAAGTGATATAACTTGTTTCATTAAAGTCCATGTGGATTCTCCAAAATATGACTTAATCATTCCTGTAAAACACTTACTGCAGCCATTGCTTTAAATCAAGATTTCTAGAAATCCTTTTTCATTGATATATCCAAAAGATAAAAGTAAGTTTGAAGTATAGGTAAGGAATTGTAAAATACAAGCTGTTTTGAATTGAGAGGCTGAGACTATTTCATTAAAAAAATGTAGAGTTGAATGAATTGGGGAGTGATCCAATGAAAAATAAAGAGTTGAATAAATTGGTGAGTGGTTAATGAAAATTGAGGAGTTCAATGAATTATTGAGTGGTCCATGAAAATTGAGGAGGTAAATGAATTGGTGAGTGGTCCATGAAAATTGAGGAGTTAAATGAATTGGTAAGTGGTCCTTGAAAATTTAGGAGTTAAATGAATTGGTGAGTGGTCCATGAAAAATGAACGAGTCTTCATTGCCTCTGGTTTAAAATAAATACAGCTCTGCTGATAAATAACTTGGCTAAAAAAAAACTTTTTTTTTCTGGAAAATGTAAAAATGAACATACAAAACAAATTGGTTTAGCCTGAGAACTTTAATGAAGAATTACAAAGACAAGAGGAAATGGGTGTGAAAAAATATTGAATTTTAACTACCACAATGAATTATGAATACAAAAAAAAAAATCATAACAAAACAGACAGTTCCCAGCAGGCTAAATAAATGTAAACCAAAAGCCCCTTTTTTGTACTTTTTTGGGGCTTTATAGGGCATATCATTTATACTGAATGGTGAAAAGGGGTGTGGGAATAATGTACCAATAGAAGATGAGGGAGTACCTATGACAGCTAGCATTTAACACAACTTATAATAAACACCAACACAATACTACACACAGCACACCAGAGCTCAGCATAATTCATCATAACATCTAAGCCATCTTTGACACTTGCAGATGGTATTTTCAATAATAGCAGGCCAAATCAAGCCATCTTTGACATTTGCAGATGACATTTTCAATAACAGCAGGCCAAATCAAGCCAACTTTTCAATGATAACAGGTCAATTTGGATAGCATGAAGGTAATGTAAACAAATAGATATTAGTTTCCTGAATTAAAATAACAGAGATTCCAAAGAGGTAGATATATACCACTGTGTATTTGGGTTTTATTTATCTCATAAATCAACTTCTTTATCATGCTAAGTCTTGTTTAAAGCATCACATTCAGAAATCCAAAAAGTCATCCATTTTGGATTGCTCTCTAGATCAAGAGGTAGATTTGTTATTTATAATGCTTCTTGCCTTTATGTCAGAATTATTATTCCCTTGAAAAGCAAAGCACGGTTTTAGATATATTTGTAACTTTAAACTTAATCTGCTTTTTTTTTTTTTTTCTTAAAAGGATTAGACTTGTAATGCTACTACTATTGTTCCTTCTGGTCCAGACAAAGCCAAAAGTATAGTGAAATGTCAAAATATTTGTTAAAAATTGAATTTTTAAAGTATTCATGCCATGCGTTACTTTTCAAGTTGAAATTAAAAAATTCAACCATTAATTAAAATACTATATGAAAGGATTCTAAATATTTTTAAAAAATCCATATATATATTTCTAACAAATTTTTACAAATGTCTCAAAAAATGACTTTTGTTATTTGATAACTTCATTACTTAATTATAAAAATTGACTGCATTGTTTTTTTTCTAATTTCTAGACTCAAAATCCTCCATCTCTTTTAAGTTACAGCTATTGGATATCAAATTCTAGTGTTCACAAAATCATTTCACTTCAGGTGAATTGGAGAGGGATACAAAAATTTGCTATCCAACAAAATCATTTGTTTTAAAAATCTCATAATCATAAATATATTTGCAACCCAATAATTAATTATTGTTTACACTGACTAAGAACGCTGTTAATTTATAACTCTCTACTCCGTCATTGTAAGTGTAAAGTTTTATTCACAAAAGCTTTTAAAACTGCAAACGGCTATCAAAGCATTAAAACTAATTTCTTTTAATAATTTTCGTTTCTTTCATTTTTTAGCTTTGACCCCTTTAACACTCAACCAGGGAGGCTACTTTTTTTTTAAAGAGCTATAGTGACTAAAAGCAATGTTTAGTTTTAGTTACGGTCCAAAGAATCCCGGGAGGAAAGATACAAGTTAATCCAGTACTGTTGTAAGTGTCAGCTAAAAAGAGCCCTAATGTGCTGTGGCAGGGACATCAAATGGTCTATCTGATTACAAGAAATCTAAGGGCTACAGGGGAGGTCAGCACAAATGAGAGAAATTACATGAACATCTTCAGTGCCTGGCTTCAAATGATAAGCAAAGAGAAATTTTAACTGAATATGTGCACAACATATTTAATTTTTGTAAATTTCAGGAAAGAAGTTTAAGAAGTTTTGTTAGCCAATAATTTCAAAATGTCTTTATTTTTTTACAACTAAACTAAGCTATTATAAAAACTCAATTGCTTTTTTTTTCTTTCTTTTTTTCTGAAATAAAGTTTTTGCAATTATTAGTTTTTTAATGCCTGTAGGTATAACATTGATAGAGTTATGAATTTCATCCTTGAAAAATCCTCCAAATAGATTATGGATATTATAATTATGTTTTTTTATTTATTTTAAAAAGTAAAAATTTAACATTAAAATCTATTTAAAAATTTTATTTCTACACAGCTTTGTTTCTAAAAAACTGTTTTTCATACCTTAAAATCTTGACCCCAGAAAAAGTGAACATCATTTAAAGTAATTTAGTGTCAAGAAAAATACATACATTTTGAAAAGGTTAGAAACAAGGTAAATGGTTAAAATTCCCAAAAATTTTAATTATTTTTTTATTTACTGGATTTGACAACCTAGCAATTGAAGACAATAAATCATCTTCATTTCTAGAACCTCCACAAATTGTGGGATTCAAAACATCTTTAGACATTTAAGATCAACTACCGGTATAAGATAACATAATCCCTTAAGTGAGGTTATTAACGTAGATCATTACCTAGAATATGAAATAAGTGTATTTGGAGGGATCTTTCATTGAATGAGTTTTTTTTTTTTAAATGCTGATTTTAGTTTAGGAGAATGTAGTAGAAGCACTGACAAGGTAATTTGACTGAAAACTACAGTCACATGATGATTGTGATGATGAAATGGTAGCAATTTAAAAAGGTCCACAGCAATATTCCTCTTTACTTTTTTGTAAAATTCAACACCATATTACATAAAATAGAATCTTTTTTTTTTTACATACTTAGGTATTTTTTAAGCATATATATTTATAGAGGTTGATAATATGAACATTTTACAATGCTTAGATGTTTATATACACTTCATTTTGTTTAAGGATGATCAATGATGATAATTTGAAAGGAAAAATACAATATGATTTTTTTTTTTAAAAGAGGATGACATCTTTTCCTCAGTTTGTATACATTACATTTGTTTTAAAAATGCACTAATGATGTGATGATGTGACTGACTTAATTTTAAGGATATAAATCTAAGCTTCAAACAAGAGGGAGACACAAAGGTGAAATGATAGCATGAAATATTCAAATGGTGGTCTTCATGAGCTTTTCTGCTTATTTAAAAATCAACTATAAAATATTTTGTTTCTTTAAAAATTGAGATCAGTACACATTTTAGTGTCAAATATTCACATAAGACTTAATAAAATGAAATAGCAAATTTTAAAAGTCATTTCTAAAATATGTATAGTTAAATTAAAAGGAAAAAAGAGAAAACACCATATAAAACACACACATTTCTATTACTTCAAAATGGGTTCAAGACAAGTTTGAAAATTGTATAATATAAAACATGTATTAATAATTTGTATTTAAACTCCATTAGTCATTTCAGTAAGATGTGTCACCTAATTTTGTGATAATTGTTTGAGTTTAAATGGCATAATAAAATGATAATCATACTTCGCTGAAGCAATTCATTTTTAAAAAAACTTATTTCGTATGGTAAGTAATGAATTTGTAAGAGATGATAATGGAGTGTAGAAGATGATAGTAGAGCATCCCAGTACTGCAGAGGTCAGCAGACCTTTTATAATTGCTGCCCTGACACAAATTGGCTAAAGCTTTCTTGGTGGTCCTCATTGTTTTAGCTCTGGCAACATATCAATGTGAGGCTTACCCCCAGAAGCCTAGCTTTAACTGTGAAAACCAATAAATGTGAGAGTTTCTCAAAGAAGCCTGGTTTCAGCTCTGGCAACCTATCAATGTGAGGCTTACTCCCAGAAGCCTAGCTTTAACTGTGAAAACCAATAAATGTGAGAGTTTCTCAAAGAAGCCTAGTTTTTGCTCTGGCAACCCAAAAACGTGATTATTTCTGACAGAAGCCCAGCTTTAACTCTGGAAACTTGTCAATGTGGGGCTTTCTTGTAGCAGCCTAATCTTAACTCCAGAGCTCAACTGTCAGAGTTAAGGATTCAGAGACAAATCTTTATGGCAAGAGGGGGAAAAATTAGACGTTTCATTTCAACTCTTTTTTCAATTTTTTGTATGCCAGTGTTGGATCCCTTGCTGGAACCAACGTTTAAAGCTCTTGAACCCTGGTTAGTATTTTCCTAGGGATATTGCCATTAGAGATGTAGTGCGGTGAGGACCAAGGATATGTAAATTTCAAAGTCAAAGTATTTTGTACTCTTTTAAAAATCAACATGGTATTTCGGTTAGTTTGTTATGTTGGTTTTTTTTTGCGCCATTCACAACCTTTTTATGCCACATATTTAAGACAGGTGCAAAGTTTAAATCATAAGCATAATATAATATTAGCAAATGCAGGAATCATTTACTAATGAAGGATCCACAAGAATAAAGTAGAAATCAAATCTGCCAACACTGAAGATAAGATTTCAATGATGTTTGCACTAATTAAACATAAAATAAACAAAGAACAAGTATAATCTTTAAATGATATGACCTTCTTACAGCAAACAATACATTTTGACCTGAATGGTGTTTTCATAATCAAAGAGATAGTCTACACAATAGTTCTGACGTTGTTGGTTTGTTGTTTTTTTTCCTTTCAACCAATTGCTGATTGCAAATATTGCTTCTCATTAAAACCTGTTATCAACATTTAAGTTTGCCAACAAAAATATCTGCCATCTCAACATTATTCAAATGTTTCAAGTTCTTAGATCATGGGAAACATATTTCATTTAATGTCCAGACTTGCTAAATCCCCAGAAAGTATAAATTGCTGGATCTTGTTTATCTGTTGCTTTTTTTATTTATTGTAAAAGAATAATAATAAATTATATATTATTTTAAAAAGCTTAAAATTTGAAAGGAATTATTGTGTGAGCAAAAATATTTGAATACATAGAGGAATACTGCTATGAAATAAATTATTCTGAAACTGATGAAATGATGAAAAAAAGGCGGGTGTGGGAGGCAGGAAAATTATCTTACAAATAAATAAATAAATATTGAATGTTTATGTCATGCAGGAGGTGATTTTAAACAGTTTGGTTACACTGTGCCTAACACATATGATTAACACACATAAAGTCTTTCAATGAAAGCTGTTGACACATGTTAGTTAAATACTAATAATGGACCAGGATAAACAGACTAAATTTACTTCTAATAAATGTCTAGTCATGTTAAATGTATAACTAAAAATAAAAAAATTTCCACTGAAACCTAAGGAAACAATATTTTTTTTTTTAATTTAAAAATTTGGAATAAATATAAAATAAATAGACAGCAATGGTTTTGAGACACAGCACGCACGCACACAAACACAAATAATAAATAATAAGTTATAAACATGTGTATAAAATAAAAGGACAAACTGCTAGAACTGAATTTGTCATACATGGCCAACAAATTGTTAAAAAAAACAATGGGGTTTTAAAATAAATACAAAGGTAACAGAATGGAAAGTTATAATTTATGGCAACTTTTTTGCACTTAGAATATTAAAGGCATGGGTAAAATTGTTTGCTTCATTAATGATAAAATTGTATGACGTTAAAATAAATAGACAGTTTCATCATGTTTACTCTATTTGGGATCGACCAAATAATTAATTCTTAAAATAAATTCGGCTCAACGGGTTTCTCATTTTCTAGACAACAGGGAAACTATTGGAAACAAAACAGGGTTAAAATGTTTGTAACTGGTGGTTAAACTTGTGTTTGTCTACGCTGAATCTTATGTTATAATTAAACAGAAGATGAGTGCAATGAATGACAACTGACAGGAAGGAGAAGTTCAAAAGTTCATCTAAAATGGTGGCAAAATAGGTCAGCTACAGCTGTTATCGCACTTTAAAGTACCTTTAAAGTATTTTCTTAAATATTTTTCATTCCAAAACATTCTCTGATAAAGAAATATTGCAACAGTTCAACTACAGTGTAGTTGGTAGGAGATGCTCATAAAGTGCATTAGGATTGTTTCTACCTATCATAGAGGAGGGTTCAAATATGCATTTCCTGTGAACTCCAGCAGTTGACTGACTTGCTTCAGTTATAAAAATTGACTTTAGGACAGATGCCAGCTAGGTCCAGGATTGCCTTCAATAAAAATAGTACATCCTGTGGGATTTTTCTTTTTTTAGGATTCTTTCATTTAAAGTTTCTAGAAACTTGTTTAATCAAACTATTTGGTTCTGTGTTGGATTCATGGGGTTTATTTAAAATGTCCATAAATTGTACAGTAACCATGGCATGCTACTAACTTCAAGCAAAAATAAAAATACGCAAAAGGCTCATTAGTTATATTTTTGGTAAGGCTTTACAACTTCTTAAGCAACTGAATCTTCTTGAATAATGGATATTGTAATATTAAATATAAAATGATTCCAATGATTCTCTTTTTAACAAGTTTATTATTGGTTCATTTGCTTCAGACAGTTTCCAGCACTAGTGATTTCCATCTTCAACCATTCCAAATCTATCAGACCATAATTTGTTACATGCAGATTTTTTTTTTTTAAATGATAATCAGTTTGTTTTTCTGAGTGTGCATATGAGGTAGTGTTATTTATTCAATAACATCACAATAAAAAGATTTAGGTGTAGTGTTAAATATCTAAGTTTTAATGTACCTGGTTGGTTTTTTTTTTAATTTATAACAATGTGAAAAGGTGTCATAACTTATTTACTGTTTAAATTACATTTCTTACAATTGTATGGATTTTTAGCAACAAAATAATTTATTAAGATTCATGTATCCCCAGAGGTTAAACAAAGTTCTGTCAGTATAAATAAATGGAACAGTTTTATGATTTGATTAGATTAAGAAATCAGCTTCTCCATTTGTTTGTTTTTTCAGTCTTTTTATTTTTTTATTTTTATTATTAAGTTCAGATTGTTGCATAAAGCAGCATTTTGCTTTCTTGATCTAATCATGTAGGAAAGTAGTATATATATTTAAACGTACAAATGTGTATGTGTATATATATATACATATATATACATTTCTGTTTGTGTGATTGAGATGAAAAAAGATAAAATAAAAATATGGATATGACAATAAATAATCATATGAAAGGTGATACATATAATTAAAATGAATTTTAACTAAGAAATATTTATACATTACCACATTACACACCAATTAACTTCTAAGGCTAAGAGTTCAGTTCAACAACACAATATTTTTTATAAAATATTCAGAGCAGTTAACCAACACTCAGAACTACACACTATATAAGTAAGTTAATATGGTGAGTAAATAGGGAAGTAGAAAATCTTTCACGAATATATTCTTGTTATTCATATTTTATAAATTTCATTGCTTGTATTTTTTGCTGTTATTTTTAAATGTTTAATATCCTGTTCAAAAGAAAACACAACAAATTTAATGAAGTGCATTTAATGTTAATAATGTATCTACATTAAGGTAATATTTCTGCAATACTGTCTTATTGAGTAATTTAATATGAAATTGCTGGCATCCATTAATTAGAACATTTTTAATGCATTCATTAATTATAAAATTTAAATTTCTAGTTATTATACAACTAAGAGATTATTTAAACTTAACATTAAAATATGTGCTCAACTTTCCTGTAAAATACTTTTTTTTACAAGTCTAAGATTTAAATGAAGTTTAGGGTGATTTAACAGTGCAGCTATATTCCTTGAAAAAGCCTACATTTACTTCTGTTATTCTCACCTCCTGCAGGTGCTGATTCTTTATACAATTAATACGATCTCTACTCACATTTGAAAAAAATTACAGAATCTGGGCATAAAAATCATTTTAAAGAGATGCCATATTTTCTTACATTTGACAGCCCATTACATCATGTATTTGGTGAGCACACTTTTGATAATGAATGTCACCTATAGGCACAATGCTTTGTACTCTGGTAAATATGGCTAAAAAGTTTAGTAAACACTTTTCAAAAAGAAAATGTTCTAAATGGTCTATTAAAATTAAAGTATTAACATGACGCTGTTCACACATGGAAAAATATGTTCACAAGGAACATATTTTCATTCATGGAACAAGATGTTGACATAAGGAACAATCTGTTCACAAAGGGACACCATATTCATTCATGGAACAAACTGTTCACACATGGATAAAGATATTCACAGAAGGGTTCATTCATGAAACAAGATGCTCCCACATGGATTAAGATGTTCACATGAAATAAGATGTTCCCAGATGCCAACTATGAAAACATCAAGAAAAAGGGTTTATTAAGATTATATTTCCCAAAATCTTAATGTCTCTTTTTTAAAATTGAAATAAAATCCAAGAAATTAGAGTTTTAAATCTCTTGGAATTTTTGTAAGCTACTTCATCTGCAGCCTGGAGAAAAACACAGGGCTTTTTTTTTCCTTTGTAAAAACTGGTCACACAAAAATACAACATGATAAAATTTCCACTTCTTTCATAAACATGGTTTAAACTGTGTATACATTCAAACAATTTGTAGTACTCATGGACATTTAATAAATAAGTAATGTGATGTGTATTTACTGACATCAAAGTAATGTATTTTTTAAGCAATATTGAAACATTTAGTCTATTAGTTCAGTTGTGTGTATGTCTTTAGCAAGTTTCTAAAAAAAAATGGATGTTTGCAGAGGTTTAAATATTTCAATTAAAATGTTAGTAAATTTAATGTAGGATGCTGATACTTAATGGTTTAAAGTGATGAAATTTGTTTTACTTGTTTATTTGGTGGGTGGGGAGGGGGAATGGGTTTTTTCTGCAGTTAAAACATAGATTTTGAAAAATTTTGTCATCAATATTACATGAATAAGTTAAAATATTTCATTAAAAAATGAAACTCATAAGTTCTGTGTAATCATTTTCTTTATGGCAACCATTTCAAAAAACACTTAAGTGTCATAAATTAAATATCTGAGAAATAAAGTTAGTTGTGCAAAATTATACCAAGCTGAATGCTTTTGGTTCCTGCCCGAAAAAGCCTCATGAACTTGCAACTTTTTTCATTTTCTTAGAATATAATTGTTACCTGGATAGTTCTTTAATTTTGCTCCCTTTCAAGGCATGCAAGATTTCTATAAAACTTAGCTTAGATAACTGCAGTATCTCAAACATTTTGTCCTTGACACAATTTTGCACCGCTATTTTTAAACAGGCAGAATCATAAGGGGAAAAAGTTGTAACTTCTGTCACATGAAGAACTTTACACTTTTTTCCCCCCAAAAATTTATAAATAGTTTTAAGGGCACATATACCATGGTTATTAATAAATAATGGGATAAAAAGATGTTCAATAAAAGTTTCCTAAGTAAAGTACCATCATACGGTACCACTTGCAAGACCATTGACAATGCGCTGCCACAGTTCTTTGCGGCAAGACTTGGACCTTCGTAGACTCTGAAGCAACTCGTTGAATTGGACAATTCCACCTGGCGCCAGATAAAATGCATTGCGGGCATTACAAACGATAGTAACAAACTCATCATAGTCTGCGTTGTTGATGTGGTGTATTCGCTGGTGGGCACACTGTATAAACCTGAAAATATTTCCAATTATGAATTCTATTGCAATTACTGTGTTTTAAAATGCAAAGTAAAATTTTTTTTTTAAATTGACCCTAAAGGGTCTAAATCAATTTTATGTAAAGCACAAGATTAGTCGAGTGGTAAGTCAGTTTTAGCTATGACTGTCAAGACAGAAAATACACTTTTGACTTTCAATGTGCCAACTAAGATTTAAAAACCAATTAAAATAAAATATTTAAACTGAGTCAGAATTTCTATTTTTCTATATATTTTTATTTCATTAATTAACATGGACTGAGAAAGTGGATAAAGTAGTAAAATAGAAGCATAAAAAACAGTCAAACATACCTACAATGATAAACATAGAAAAACAAATCATTAGAGAAGTACATAAGTTAAATAACAGGCCAAAGGCTCAATAGAAAGATTGGTTTTCCTGATACCTGGCCTTAATACCAAAGTTCCCATAACTTCCTAGGATAAGATCAAATTCTATCTTTGCCAGGGCCACATCAAACTAAACTTGCACCTCAAAGCCCCTCTCAATAATCTTTTGTATTACCCAGTACAAACAGTACTAGATTACCTCTTCCACTTAGATCACCTCTTCCACTTAGATCACTTCTTTTACTTAGAACGCCTCTTTCACTTAGAATTCCTCTTCCCCTTACATTCCAACGTTTCTCTTTAATCCTCCCCTGCCCCAATTCCAAATCAACATCTCCCCAGCAACATCCCTACCCTCTCTCACCCCCTCTCCCAACCCAATACCCTACAGTAGCTTTCTTTCTGTTATTTCAGATAATTTAAAAAAACATATTTTATCGTGGCAAATATTTTACCTACGTAATAAAAAGAAATAACAATAATATACATATGTCGAAGAATTAAACTGATGTTTCAATTATCAACAACACTTTCATTTAGCTTATAGAAAGTAGCGCAGCTGTTAGATATTTATCTAAGGTGCTTAATATGCAGTTTATTGGAAGCATAGCGATACACAGATCACCAGTGTTTATATTTATTAAGTTAATTAATACTTCTCATTAATTTGTTTTGTCAAAATTATACCCTAGTCATACTTACATTTGCAGACACTTTTGAAACAATGAATTCAGTATATTTGATCTCAAATGTGTTGGTACATGCGTTAAGTTGTTGCGAGCAAGAAATCGAGCAGCCTCCATTGCCAGGTCATAGAGTATAAAAGGACTTACAACAGCATTGACGGCACTAGCGCAGAACTGTTGAAGGAATGTTGTGCCTGGTGGATAAAAAATTCTTTTGGATCAAGGCTTATGCATTTAAAAGTTCAAGTCTTCAACTCACAGTTTCATTTTTATTTCAGATTTTAACAATCAAACAAATGTACAATTTGCTACTGACCTAACTTGATGGCAACACTCAATAACCATTTGACATCCTCTCCATAAGGTGGATTCCTGGCATACTTGGTCTGTGGCCTGTCATCGTGAACTTTACGTGAGAGGGTCTCCATTGCTAACATTCCAGTACGAAATGCAGCCATTAGGTAATTCAACTGCATCTGATTGTGGGTATTGGGCTGCATTTGCGGGACAGCCACTGTGGAGTTGAGAACCTGTGCAGGGCTGCCTGTCTGAGGATTTGTGGTCACTACTTCCACAGGGTGCATAGCATGCATGGCAGGGTGAGGGTGAGGTTGTGTGGTGAAAACCTGAACAGAAGGTGGAAGGGAGCGCAGATGGGGTGCACTCCCTGTATGGTATATATTGGGAGGGAGGCTTGTAAAGTTGGGCTGTCCTGGATAGGTGTACGAGGCCACGTAAGTGTGTGGATGAAGACCATGACTATGTAATGTGTGATGGGGCGGAGTGTGTGTAAAATGATGGTGGGAGAAAGGTCCTGGTGGGGGGCCTGTTTGTGTCACCTGTTGCACATAGCTGTAAGGCTGTATATAGTGTGCCCCAATCTGAGGGGGCCCTGCATTGGTGGCTGGGAGCAGGACTACAGTTTGGGGTGGAAGGTGAGGAGAAGGGGATTGGATAAGTTGTGGAGAAGAGCACACTGGGGAGACAATCTGCTGCTGGGTGTGTGGTGGGGATTGGCTGCTATGAACAGGGAGTGATATATTTGCAAAGTGGACTAATGCATTTCCTGCATTGGGGCTGGCTCGATCGCTGCTGAAATAGAGAGAAATACAAGATTTGTAGCCTTTGGTTGCAATAAAATGCTAATAGAATACTATCCAATATTAAAACTATACACAGCAATGGTTTTTATCTTTTTTAAAAAAATTTAGAAGATGAGAATTTCAAAAGCAATTAAAAGTTTTTAACAATAGGCAGCTATTAATTTTTATATTGCACTTTTCCCCTACAAAATTCTAAATGATTGAAAGTAGTGGTTACCATACAAACCTGGATGACCCAGGATCTGTTGAAGTGTGGGAGGCAGGGCTTCCAGACTCTCTCCTTGCCCTCAGTGTATGAGTGCTGCTGTCACTACCATCAACAGAGTCAGGGGAATTCTGACTGGCCTCCTCAGACAGTTCATACCAATGGTGGGCGACATCAAACAAGACCTGCAATCAGCAAAGTTCCCAAGCATAAAGAAAGAGTTTACATAAACTAACAGTCAGTATATATAATAATAATAATAATAATAATAATAAAGTTTATTTGAAAATCACGCTTCATCCCCAAAGGCTCGAAGCGCGGTACATAGTCTAGCATATTAAAAGAGAAATAAAACAATCTATAATATACCACATTGAAATACAAAATGCAACATTGCAAAAACTATATACGAGAATACCCATTCTAATTCTATCATACCTAACAACCATAAAAAACACAGGCCAATACACATCCACAAGATAATAGCTAGATAGACAACATCATCCCAGCAGGTGTTTGCGAAATAGATGTCTTCAAATCAGTTTTGAAAGACTCCAGTGACTGGCTGTTTCTGAGAGCGACAGGAAGGGTGTTCCAAATTGTTGGGCCAGCAAAAATGTGAAAGTACACCGCTCGTAAGTCTCAAGGCGAACACGTGGTATCGAGAGTGTGCCACTATAAGATGAGCGGAGTTGTTTAGTGAGTACATAAGGCGTCAGCAGCTCTTTGAGATAGGACGGTGCCAGGTCATGCAAGCAGCGGTAGCACAGAGTTGCAATTTTGTGCTCTATGCTAGCGCGGACCAGCAGCCAATGCAAATCTCTCAGAAGTGTTTTAGCATGGTCAAATTTGCGTTTGCGAAGAACAATGCGAGCCGCATTATTCTGTGCTTTTTTAATTTTATCTAGGAGCGTAGCTGGAAGACTCACCATAAAGCATTGCAGTAGTCCATGCGTGATAGCACAAATGCAGACATCACCTTCTTTGATGCATCTATATATATATCCTTTTAGAACCAGCAGAAGTGTATTATATTTTTATAAAACTTACACCTTAATACTTTTCACTGCCATTGCCAGCATCAGCATGTAATATCCTCACTATAAAGATTATTGATGCTGAAACAGTCCTTGATGTTCTGAATACATTTCTTAAAATAGTCACAAATATATGCTGCAAACACATGACTTAATATTAATAAAACCTTAAATTTTACTATTAAGATTTAACGTAATATTTAGCTTACTTCTGGGAATACTCCCCCTCCCTCTGCTGCAGTCTCTACGGCTAAACAAGCCTTCTCAAGCATATCTCTACTCTGTTCTTTGCACTGATACAGAGCCCTCTGTACTTCAGAAGGATTGAGTGCATGTGCATGTGGGAGGCATGAAAGCGCAAGCTCAGCTGCCACTCTGACCATGTACGGATCACGTCCTCTGGATGCCCTGTCAGCCAAGGAAGCTGCTTCTGGGGGTGTCAAGTGACCTTCCCAGGTGTCAATTATCATTCTGATGGCAGCACTTCCTATTTCTGTTGCTTGACCTAAGTTTTATGCATATAAAAACAAGAAATAATTTGACTTGTGTGCTTCATCAGCTCTTTAGGCTATTTAAAGTTAGAATAACATTCCTGTGTACAATCTCTAAAGCTGGACAAGAATGCAAAAGAAACAACTGTAACTAAAAACCCCTCTTAAACAAGGGTTAATAATATGATTGGTGCAGTGCAGCACAACACGGTATGTCAGCTTGCCAATAAATGTATCCAATAAACCCCATGGTCTGAAATGAGTGGCTAAGTTTAACAATGAACTGGTTTTTCTATTCACTTAAGTTTCAAAGTTAGTTTAATTTTTTCCATAACTGCCCTTTGATCAAAACACTAAGTGATGTGAAAACATTACAAACAATTAGCTCCAATTGTATTCAAGTGCTGCTTTTTATAGTAATGGCTTCTGATCAACAAATATTGTCCCAATTAAAGACTGAAAGTGTTGTGATAGTCAAAATACAACATATTTCAAACTAATAAGATGTAAGAAAGTTTGTCTATTTTTCAAATTTTTAAAAAAATTACAATTAAACTATATTTCATTCATAAAATGTGAACAATGGAAAGTAATGCCCAAAAAAATGTATTTTTACCTGTAATCCAAGATACATGAGAAGAATAAGTCCTAGACAGCCAGTTGGGAGAAACACAGTTGCTCAGCCCCAAGGCATAGAGTCCAATTTGGAAAGCACACAAGTGCAGGTTTCTGTGTGGACCGGTGTGACTGGTGTTGCTGCTGGGCTGAGTGAATAAGGATGTGGAAGATGTGCCACCAGCTTTCTGGAGCACCGTCTTGGCCAGTTCAAACATGAAGTGGTAGCCTGCTTCGCTGGGCTGGTTGGGAACAGTTGGCATCACCCTCTGTCTGCCTTTGTACCTGTTGACAAAACATTGCACCCTTCAATTAGATATGAAATCAATGGGTCTAATTCTTAATGCACTGCAGGTTTATTTTAACAGCTATTGTAGATTTCAATGATATCCTTGACATGAAATCACCTTAGTGTCTTGGCGCTGACTTGGTTCCTGGAGTCCATTAGAGCCTGAGGTAACAACATGCGATTCAAGTAGGGGCTTGGTGGACTGAATGGAAAATATATAACAAATATTATCTAATAACAAAGATAGAGTGATTCAAATAAACTAAATTTCCTATCTTCAATTAAATCTTTAGAACGATAGGAGGCTCACTGAAACCGGCATGCTGTTTTTGTTTTTTTAAAGATTTTGTTACTACAAGGAAGCTGCGAACTTCTATTTTTGAAATGATCAGAGGTTTTAATAGTTATAAGCCAGAGAGATGGTGAAAAATCTTTCTCAAAAGGGGTGACATTCCCAAAAAATTTTCAAGTGTTTTCAAACCTTTCATTATCCCTAGGAATGACCCTGCCTCCTTTGTCACCACTGCTGCTAGAACCAAGAGAGTCACTCTCCCCACTGCTGCCACTGTCACTGCCTGGACCTTGATGTTTGCCAAAGTTTCTTCTAATTAGTGTTGGAGAGTTGTCACTTGATGTGGTCTCTGGAGCACTGCTGTCAATGCTTGCCATTCCTTAGCAGATCAACAAGTTGAAATGAGTGAAAGGCGCTACTGAAGGAATCCGAACTTACTTGGGAGTCCATATACTTGTTTCAAATCAGTTTTTATATCAAGAAGTTTATTAACTTTTATTTTACAAAAGAAAAAACAGTTGTCCCCACTTTTTCTATATAAAAACTCTATGTATCTGTCACAAATGACTGGGGTGGGGTTTAACAACAGCGATCCATTGCTACTTCGGGTAATTTATAGGGTGGGCGGAAATTGTTAGGATTTTATTATGTGTTCTTTTGATAATGGTGTCAGTGAGCAATAATGTTTTTTTGTTCAGAACTTCCCCGTATACGGCACCACGTTTATTAAATGATGAATGAGCTCGGAGGCGACTTACAGGGAGAAGAGAATATGTTTTGGTTTTAAGCGTTGGAGATTAATGGATGGTGAATCTTAAGTGACAGATTTAGTGTTAATAACTGTAATCAAAAATAGAATAAGGGATAGGCAAGTACTGTAGTGAAGTGTTAATATTTTTGGACATAGGAATAGTTGAGACTTAGAAGTCATAGCTTTAGAGATTCATATAGATAGCTGACAATCAGTGAGGACTATAGAAGAACTTGTTATATTAGTAATAAACATATTATTTCCATCATCTGGACACCTGGAGTATGAGTTGTTTAGTGTTCATTCAAGTCATATCTTGTGTTTTGCATTGTCCAATGCCTAGATTAGTGGTTCTTAACCTTGTTGGAGGTACTGAACCCCACCAGTTTCATAAGTGCATTCACCAAACCCTTCTTAATAGGAAAGATATAATATCATTTTTTAAATTTTTTTTGGAGCTCCGCCGAACCCCTGAGACTGACTCACTGAACCCCTGGGGTTCGATCAAACCCATGTTAAGAACCACTGGCCTAGATACTCAACATATAAATCACAGAGAGGAGCAGTCCTGTACTAACCACTACTGAATCAATAACGTTTGTGATAAGTCAAGACCGGAGCTCTCCTCCACAACAACCGCTCTGTGACAGTATTATATGTTTATTCCAAGAAATTTATATTTTTTGGCAAGTATTTGAAGGTTTACATATATATGTATACTTATGTAAACTGTCAAAATATTAAAATATTACATATAATGCAAATGTTTCTTTAAAATTTTACCTTGTGACGGTTTCTTTTTCATTCCCATGCATCTGATTTTAGCCTCAAGGGCTTTTAAATCATCTTCCTCTTCCATTGCTGAGCTGTCTGTGTCACGCCCACTGAAAGAATTTTAAAAAATAGACAATTGTACAAAAAGCTCCCATCGTTTTAAGTTTATCAAGAATGAACATTTGCATTTAATGAATATATAAATTGTACTGCATCATTTTTTTTTTATAATATCCTCCAGGATCTAATATATCAGTGTTTCCCAAACTTTTTTTATACTGTGTCACTTACATATTGATTGACTAGCCTTGTATGAATTGTTTTACTAATCCTCCCACCCATATATTTTAAAATGTGACAATAATGGCTATCTAATATTTTTTATTAACCCTATAACTGTCTAGAACATTTTTCTGTAGCGTCAGCCATTTTCAACACTTTCATATGCTTGTCGAAAATGACAAAATTCCAGACCCTTACAAGCATATATTTTCTGAAAGTGCAGTGGACAAGGTATCTTATGGTATGAAAAGAATTTGACCTTGACCTTTGCGGAGTGAGTAAAATTTTGGTATTCAACTTCTGAATTCAACCCACTCTATATACCCCTTGAAATGCCACCTCTCGCCCCCTGGGCAACAATATGAGCATCCTGTAAAATATGAATCCATTCCAAAAATTACCTTGTATATCTAAGAGAAAATGTTGTCTTTGGCCTGGCACCACCATTAGGAGTGGAGTTTGCTGATGCTGCTACAGGGGTTGATGCATTGTCAGTACTGGTCCCAGAGTCTGGCCGTTCATCTCCATTGCGCCATGTTCCTCTCTCAGTACGAGTATCAACACTTGCTCCTGGACATAAGTGGATATCAAAACAGTTTAATTTTTTTTATTTACCAGTCTTTTTTTATCTTATATGTTGCGTAATGTATTATAATATTTCATAATTATACACATATATAAAGCTACTATTTGGTAAGAGTAAAAATGTATTATTACAGCCAGAGTAAAAAAAAAAGTAATTGGAGTAACAATGATTCCCAAAACTTTGACCCTTTAACCAGGGCAGAGATAATAATCCACTAATTGCCTACATGAAAAGATGAAACAACCAGCTCTGGTTAGCAGTGTGCCATTAATAAATCGAATGCTGACATCGAGGCTGATGTCATCTAAATGTTGATGCTACAGTTGATGAGCAAAATACCAGGGTAACTTTTGCCATACACATGTTTATGAGCATTCAATGGTATCAATGTGTTTGAAAAACTTTTTGAAAAAAATTTGCTAAAGTATGCACATTTTCACCATCCAAAAAAGGTCAACCTGATCTCACATGGTAATTTTGTAAACACTTATGGCGTAACAGGAAATAAAAAATAACAAGCAAAAAAAGACATTTATATGTTTGATACCACACCTAGAGACTTGCACATACTGGATTGGATAAAAATTGTATCAAATCAAGAAAAACATCCAAGATTCTAATGTTGTAATGTCTCGATATACATTTAACCTTTTTTGATAACTAAAAGTCACTCAGCTGATTGTTCAAAGGGGTTACTGATTAATCAGTAAAATGACTGATTAAACCAATTACTGATTATATGCAAATTAATCCGCACAACTCTCTTGTATAAAAATTGAATAATTGCCTTTTTTGCTTCTGAATTTTTTTTACTTGATCAGCAGTTTCAAAGCAACAATTTACAAACAATATCTGACAAGTAATCTTATTAAAACATTTTTTTCCTAACATAATCACACTTTATGAATTATGTTGCAAGACTAAAATTAAAATATACGTATTTCTGTCAGAAATAGTTGTTAAAAATTCTTTGAAGTTTTGCAGAAAATGTGAACTTTGTATATGGTATTGCTTTAAATGATTAAAGTAAACCATTGCCAACCTCCAGGTGTAGCTCCTAATGCACCTCTCTCTGGCACAAATAGTTTTTCAAAATCTCCTTTACCCCCATGAGATCTGTGTCCCGTAGCAGAACTTCCATCTCTGTGATGACCACTGTTTGAAGAAGACCCAGCTGTATTGTGAGATGATGATGCTGGCTGTTTGTGACCTGAGATGTAGTTGATCAGGCTTGGTGCCTTATACTGCTGATGAACTTCTTTATCCAACAACTTATCCATAATCTGAACAAAAACAATTATTGCATGTTTCAAACCATCTTATAAAGCTTTCATGTATTTTATTATTTACTCTCTGCCTTGCCTTGCTTAAAATAAGGTAAAATAAATTAATTGAACGCAATAAGCATTGCAAATTTTAAATTATTTCTAAAAAGGGGACAGTTGTGACTGAGAAATATCAATAACATATTTTTTCATCAATTAAAGATAAATATTTAAATTTTGAATATATTTTCAATTTGAGTTTATTAAAAAAACTTTAAAAGAGAATCTTTTTTTTTCCTACTTTGCTCAGTCTGACTGAATCATCTTTATACTGCACCAACATGGAGATAGCCAGCTCGCCTCGTTGTCTTCTTGTACTCTCACACAACAGTGGGTGATCTGCCTCCGCTATGTTGGCTTTCATACCTGTTAATTTTGCAAATGATATTAAAATCAATAACATTGATTCTATATTTATTGAATTTAACATCAAAGTGAAAACTAAATTCATTTTCAGAGTATATTCTATATTTATTGAGATTAATCACAGTATATGCTATTATTAAATTCAGAACATGTCAGCTAACAACACTTCAGAGTGCTTCATCAAAAAAATTTCAATATCAACCAAATTAAATAAATATTTGACTTCACTGCAAATGAAATAGCATCAAGGACATAAATATATTGATTTGAACATATATTTTTGTTTATATATATTATTGATGACATTTTGCATACACATTCATCATGGAAAGTGGTAGTATTTCTTGTCTTCAGTTAAGTCTTAAAGAAAGGTCTACTTTGTTTAATTTTTTACTTATCTCAAAGGCTTACTTCAATCAACCAACCCATTTTAAGTAACTATATTTTATGTCACTAATGGAATTTATTTAGAGATCACTGTCTCAAAGTTTACAATCAAAATAAAAGTATGCCCAGGGAGAAAGGATACAAAAATATGGAGCATTGGCATTAAAAGGAATCAATGTCCCCTGAGAATAAAGAGAAAGTACTTGTGTACAAACCTAATGCAGTTACAGCAGCTTCAAATCCAAGCTTTTCCTCCTGTGTGTAGAACATGTTAGCTGAAACAAACATTTAAAAAAATTTAAGTTACCTGAAAAAATTAATTTTGAAATATGTCAATTCTGAGAATTCATTTGCTTTGTGTTTATAGTGACATTCATTTTCATGTTCAATTAATTAAATTAAATTAATAAAGATAAGCAAATATTTTAATGTCATTTATCTTTATTATCTTAAAGATTTTGGTAACCAGCACCTTGAGCATTGCATTTATTTTCTTCAAACATATTTACATTCTTAAATAATGGAAACATTTTGTTAAATTTTGATCAATTTTTAAACATACTTCTACTTGTGGTTGAAAGATTGCTGTGTAGACTTTTGATGCAGACTTTGACAACAGTTGAGAAAAATTAAATCTTTTTTCAATAGCATAATAATATAACCCACACAAAACTAATGTAAAATAATACAATTTGGAAAACTGAATTCTAAAATAAGAGTTCAAAATCTTTAAATTAATCAATTTCAGACTATTTTTGTAATAGGATATAAAACTGTTAAGTTCCAAAAAAATCTGTCAATAAATACAAATAATTCTTTTTTTTTTTTTAATAATAATTTTTAAAAAATTTTAATTTTAAAAAAACGTAGTGGCTATTCGCACCCGGGTACCAGAAGTGAGAGGTTGGGATTAAAAAACTATTTAAAATATTATTGTTAGGTTTGTAAGACAAAATGAGGTGTCAAATGAAAGATAATTGAATGGACTATATGTTTGTAAACTTACTTCTAAAGTTTAACTAAAATAAACTACCAAAAATGACATCCCAATAGCATTTAGTCAAAATGGCCCCGGACACGCAGCGCTGCCATTCGCACCCGGGTCCCATTAGACCAATGCTATTTGGATGTCATTTGTGGTAGTTTATTTTAGTTAAACTGAAGAAGTAAGTTTACAAACATATAGTACATTCAGTTATCTTTCATGTGATACCTCATTTTGTCTTATAAACTCAACTAAAAATATTTTAAATAGTTTTTTAATCCCAACCTTTCACTTCTGGTACCCGTGTGCGAATAGTCGCAGCCAAAAAAAAAAGGCAAAATGTATCTTTATTTTAGTTTGTGGTTAATTAACTGGAGTCATCACTAAATCTCACTTGGTATACATAAAGTGTCAAATATAAATGTGGCCAGACTAAGGGGTAGAAGAGCCTCTCCTCTGGACTTCAGTGTTCCATCTCGTAGTTGCTCAGCTCTAACTCTGATTTCTGCCATCTCCAGAGGCCCCAATGGAATCTTCTTCAAAAGCTGAAGAAGCTCTGACTCTTGATGGGCCAGTTTTACCTGTCAAAAATAGAAATCTAGATTACGTGAGCGATACACAAAAATGTATGTATTGTGACTACCTATTTAGAAAGTTGCTGTTAGCTTGTGGTGAGCTTCATTTATTTTTGGATATAGAAAGAATCTCTTTTTATCATAATTAAAATTTAAAATTGAGTGCTTCGACTTTTTTTATCAGAAAAAGTTAAAAAAAGATAGTAATATCCAGGTAAATGTGGGGTATTTATAAAGCGTATAAGGCTTTAACCACTAAGTGGATTAGACAACTAACTAGATTAAACAATGTTTTCGTCATGTATGTTAAGGAAAATAGAGATGGTATCAGATCAAAACTTTTTAATGAGAAACATTTACTAAGTGTTACAAACTTCTAAGAAAGTTGTTCCCAAACAGTGTGGCATCATAACTTCCTAGAGAAGTAGAGGGTGGTAGAGGGGGGGAGGGGGGGGGCAATCGTGGAGAAAATAGAGAAGAATGCTAAATCAGAGAAATATAATCTTAATTAAGGAATCACTCTTTTAGGTAATAAAAAAAAGTATTATTCATCTCAATATAAATGTCCCATTGATTTACCTCAATGGCTTTGTTGGAGGCTGGGGGTCTTGCCAATTCCAAACCAAACATCCCTATTTGGAAGGCAAGGTGGTGACACTCTTCATCTTCACACAATACACTGCTAAGAAAAGATGCTTTGGACAGAAGAGCACTGGCAAGCATACTTATATTGGTTAGTGCCTTCTTTTTTTTTGCTGAAAACAAATGTGTATGACAATATAAATAAATAAACTTAATGAAAGAAGCAAAATGTATACACAAATTATTTTACTGGGCCCACACAAAATATAATAAAATAAAAGGGAAAATCTTGGTACAGGAGGTTCTGATAATTTACTTTCCATAAACTGCCTCTATCCAGTGGGAAAGAAATATTTGGTGCTAAAATTTGCTTTCATGTTTATATTTTTGCAACTCACATTTTGGAGAAGGAGCACTTGCTGACTCTGCAAGAAGATCTGGAGGATTGTCCAGCATTTCCTCCGTTAACCTTTGAGCAAGGCGACAAGCTTCCTTAGTGTGACCATGAGCATGAAGAGCTTCAGCTCGGGCAAATAATATCTGAAGATAATTATCGGTCAGACTTAAGAACCAGTTTAGAAGAAATGAAATTTAACAAATTTTTAAACGATGTTTATGTTTCAATTTAGCTAATAAGAAAATAAAAACATAAAAGGAAAACTCATAACTGTAAATGGTATGGACAAAGAAATATGAGCATTAAAATGTATCAAACATTGATTTCCCCAACTCTTAATACCTAGCTGTTAAAAGAAATGTTTGGTAACATAGCTTTTAATGTATTAGCTAATTCTAAAATTCTGAAACAAGGTTAGCATACCTCATCACAATACCAATCTCCTCAGAACCTTTGTAAAAATGTTTAAGAACTTTTATACTGTTAAATCCTAAATATAAAATAACATTACTCAACTGTTGGTCATCAAACTTTGAGACCTTAACAGAATAAATTGTAAAAAAGATGGTTAAATATTGATTAAAATTAAGATAGATTGAAGTCTAATGGCAATCAATGAGACCGATAGGTATGATAATATAATAAGAATTCTGTGAGTAGTTGCACTTCAGTGTTGAAGTATTTAATAATTTATAAACAAAATATGCATTAAAATTATGGCAACTTACATCCTGCATGCTCTCTGCATTTTTTAGACCAGCAAATACATTTGGTTCATCTGCTTTCTCTTTGTTTTTTGAATCCGATCCGGTCTTGGATTTTGTGTCATAAAAGTACATTTGGTATTCATCACTTGGTTCTAATGAATCCATAGGACCCTGTTTCACTCCACGGGTCTGATCTGCTGAGGTGGACTGAGAAATAAACCCTGATGATATCTGAAGACTAGAAGCAGCAGCAGTAGTTATACCGGGCATGGGATTAGCAGTTGAAAAAGCACATCCACCCATTAGAGATGGCATGTGTTGATGTTTAGGTGCCATGTCCCCAACACCAGCATCAAAGTCAGCTAAAGTTTCATCAAATACATCAATTTCTAAAGAAGGTTGCTTTCTAGGTAATGATACAGGAGAATTTACTGTAATGACATTTGGAGATATATGTAAGGAATTAGGAATGGACGACTTAGGAGTAAAACTATGAGGGGACTCCACTTCTTCAAAAGAATTACTTCTTGAATGTGCACCCTTGTAGTCACCGCTAGAGTCAGAATCTCTGAAGCCTCGTTCAGGCTCACAAAAACCTTCAGAGCCTGAGCTCATAGCTCCATCTTGGCCAGAGTCACGACGAGGTGGTAGAGAGTTGCGGGGGTCTGCTGGCCAAACCCGGTTTGTACCTATGTCCTGAGATCGTTGGGAATGAGCAAGATTTCTATTAGGGTTATCAGTACTTATAATATCCTGGGAGCAGATAGTGACAGGCTGAACTCGCGATGGTTTTTTACACTCACTGTCATGGGCTTTATTGGAGCCAAAGTGGTAAAAGAATCTGGAGCCATCTTTGGCTGAGTATGTTATGCCAGGAATAGGATAATCCTCCCAAGTTAGGGCACAAGCTTCAATTGCAGGTTTGAACCCAGGAAATATTTCCACATCTCCTTTCTTTATGCCAGTTGCAGAAGTACTTGAGCTGTTACTCCTAGCTTTACGAACTTTTTCGATGGTGCTTATGTGCCAGTCACGAAATTTCTCTAACATATCTTGTCGTTGGCTGGGAGACAATTTGGGATTAAGAGCAGCCAGACGCCACAGTGTAACAATTTCATCACACAGACTTGAAGCAGCATTTTGAGTGGCATTAGCAGAGTTACCACTTCTACTGCAGTGGATCACCGTAGCATTGTTTGATGGTGAAACTTTTGTTGAAAACCACCAGATAAGAATCTGAAAATGTAAAGTTTCAATAGTGTTTTAAAACATTTATTTAATTTCTTTCATCCAAAATATGCTAAATGCCATATACTGATCTAATGAATGTCACTACTTATAACTATTTCATAAAACAAAGAATTTAATTATCAACAGCAAGGAAAGCTTGAACATTAAGGTAACATCAATGAGAATTTATAACTGTTAAGTTTACCTGTTCACACTGGAGAACCTCATCAGTTAAAATTTCAAGCAATGGTACAGAATTGCTGTCATGCCGACGAAACATTTCCCTGACAATTGACAGTAAATTCCACATGCCCTCTGGCTCCCTGCCTCTCAGCGGTCTTAAAAGGCTTTGCCACTCGGTTGCAGCTGGTGGTGCACTTGCTGTTAGGTAGTTGACATCACTGGTGGTATAATTAGTAAAAACTTGAGGAATTAGGAATGGAATTTTAAAATGTATGGTACTTTAAAAGTACAAGTAAGTGTGACTATTTTATAACTCATTTGCCTGTGTGCTAAACCATCACAGTGATGCAGGATGGGAGGGAGTTGTTAGTTAACCTTGAATTTTCTGATGTAGGTATTAACTAGGCTTGGCTTGCACATACAGCTACTTCAAGCCAGAAAATAATACTGTTAAATACTGTTGCCAAAAATCATAGTTTTAATATTTATCATCAATAAAATGCTTTCACTTTATAGACGTGTGGCAACTTTAAGTCCTGATCACCATATTTGGAGATCTGTGGCTTTTATTCCTCAACATCAACAGTGTGTAATGGAGTGTTTTATCCATCATGGTATTCAAAATAGAAACACTCTTTGTTCTCTTCAGTGGAGCAGACATAGACTTGACCATTCAAAGGATGTTTAAAAGACACCATCAATATCTTCCAACACTACTAAGGCTCTATGATTTTTGCACAGTTTAGACATTGAATCAACATAATTCATATTTATAAATTGTATTAAAATATTAGTCCATATCATGTAATAAAATAAGTATAATATGTGTAAGTGTGCACTTATGCTTAGGAATAATTTTATGTTTTACTTGAGATCAAATTTCTTTTTAAACTTATACCTAAATACTATAGGTGCTGGAATACAAAACTTCACAAGTGTTTTCTTGATGTTTGAATGCAATGTGGACTCATCTAATGACCAGGAAGTTTGTTCACTAGCTGATGGGCCAGCAGTAGGATCTGTGGTTTCAAGAAAAACATGACATTAGACTTTGAATCACATTTTGAATGAGAAACCCTGTAGTTTTTTTAAATAAATAACTGCTGTCCAACTCAGGAAAAATTTGAAATCGTGAGTGAAAACACAATTTACAATTTCTGAGCAAATTGGAATCCATTACCTTCCCTGCCATGCATTTTTGTTGTGTCATTTCAAAACCAAAGGTGTAAGTATCATATTCTGCTGGCATAACATGGGAGATTTGATCCCTTATCCTTTAACTTTTTTAAGTCTCTCAAAAGCTTATCCCACGAGAAGGCTGGAGTGATTTCACTGGAGTCAAGCTTGACAGTGATATGTACTCTTGTACTGCTGAGTATTGTCTTAACCCTTCTACCACCACATTGTATCAGTTTCCTCTCTGCACTATATTAAACTTACTCACCGGGAGCACCACAAACTGTATTCATAGCAGTCTCTTGTGACGAAAGCAGTTCATCCAAAATCTGCTGTGCAGTAGGTAGAATCTGAAAGTAGGTTATGCAAGCTGTCAGAGGCAGGGCATTCAATAAGGAATAAAGAATTACCGTATTATCAGCGTATAACACACACTTTTTCTCCCTGAAAATAGGGGTAAATGGTGTTTGCATGTTATACGCCGATATAATGTTAAGGACCCATAGTACATACCGCAGAGCGGCGCGAATGGTGTGTGTGTCTTATACGCCGATAAATACGGTATATTGTTTTTCCAAGAGAATGCAAGTAAAATAAATGTTTCATCAGATATAGTATAACAGAAAAAAAAGTATTCTTTGAATTTTAAATATCTAACAGTTTTATTATCAAAGTATAGTTATTTGTTTATGAATTTTGTTCAAAAATTAACCTGCTGAGGAAGTTCACTAATAAGATACTGAGCAAATTTCTGTAGTTGATCTCTACGAAGACGAGACAGGGACTCAGACACAGGGGCACGCAGACATACAGAGCTAGCCTGAAAAAGAAAATAAATGATGATTTAAAATTTACTGAAGAAAAAATTATTCTCTTATGAACCTATTTGGGTGATGCATGAAACCAGAGCTCCAGAGCAGGAGAACTAAATTCATAACTTTTTAACAGTGTTGAAAATGTTATAAATTGATACAATCTAGATTACATGTCAAGTTAAAGTTTACCATAAAGTAGATTGTTTAAATGTATACTCATTTAAGGCAAGGAAAAACAATAATATTTAAAGGAAACAGAAACTTATAAAGACCTGATGTATTCTGAATAGACATAGGGCAACAATATGTGAACACCATGATGCTGGACTCCCACAGGTGCAAGTGCAGGATGATATTCTACGACGATCAAATACAACAGCCACATTGAAGGAACCTTTACTTTGACCTTGGGCAGCATTCTGTGTAGTTACCACTGTAGCACTTAGGTGAAATCCTGTGAAATTGGAAGTTAAACATTACATTGAAAATAAAAACATTTTATCATCCTTTTCTTCTGTACTGTTTAATATTAAGTGTTGCTTTTTTTTCCAGCAATACCATTTTTTCCAGTAACTGTTTTCTGATATAGTATCATATAGTACATCTTTTTCTCTTTTTTTCTTATCCATTGTACCATGTGTCACATCCAGTACTTTTGATTTCAACAAACTTTTTTGGTGTGATTAGCAGCCATACCAGGGTTTTTCTTGTCATATCTTTAATCCTTTGACTTTCTATATAGAAGTCTGCCTGTTTAACCCAAATTTGTGTTGAGAACTGGTGAGGACATTTGATTTTGCCAGAATTTAAACAAAGGACAACCAGAATGCTTGTCCTATGTCTTAAAGACTTTGTCACCCTGAAAGTTTTTGAACCCATAAATAGCTTAAATATTCCAAATAAATGCAAATAAATAACTTAACTTCATATCTACTATTAAAAGTAAATTTTAAAGAAACAAGAGTCATATTAGATGGACATACCTATTTGCAATGTGTCTTTTACACTCTTATTTTTATAAAGATGTTCTCCTTTTGTAAATTCATCAGCACTTCCATTAGCTAGGCATGAGTACAGTCTGGTGAATAATTATTGAATTGCATAAAAATAATAAGTATGTTTAACAAGCCATATGTTTTTTAATGGTAATAAAAATGGAGACAAATTTATTATAAATTCGGAGACAAAGAGTACAATTGTTGAGTAATTTGACCCTACCGTATATCTTCCTCGCTCTCAGGGAAACTCCAAAAGGCAATCCGCAACTGTATGGGTTCAGGAATAGGTTCTGGATAGTGCTCAACAACCTCAAATGGTATGTAACAGGCTACAGCTTTTGCAGCAAGTTCTGACAATGGTGTAACCTGGCGCTCTGGAAGAGATTAATTTATATATTTTAACATTGAATGACTGTCAAAATATGCATAATGATTAAAGATCAATAACATTTAAAGCAGCAATCATTAAATATCATTTAGCCTACTTTACTTGGGATGATAGATTAAGTTTTCATGATGGAGTAAGACTAGAGACTGGTTTAGTGGTATTTACGTAACTCAAAATTTTCATCACAAAATGTGTAAATATAAATATAAATCCTGGTTTGACCTTTCATCTTGTAGGTTCCTTAGTGTTATAACTATTGTAAAATGTTAAAACCATTACTAAACTTTCTTGTTATTCATGAAGTAAATTCGATATAAAAATAGCAATAAAGACTAAGCTAAAAAAAAAAGTGGAGATGCTGATAGTTCTTATATTGTAAAATTTTCGGAGCACCCTATCTTATTTATGTTTTTAAGTGTTACTGCATAGATTGGCATAGAATGATAGATGGATCCATGCTGAAGCAGCATAAAGTTTTAATGGAAATACTTAAATTTTAACTGGAAAACAGGGTGGTGATCAACCAAAGTTAGAAGTATTATAAACAGCTATCATTTGCCACCCACAAATGACAAACCTATAGGCTATAGGCCTAGGCATAATTAGATTTGTTTTTTTCATGGCTTATTTATAATGACTTAACCCCTTATGATTATACTATAGGTCAATAGTCTATAGTCTATAGTAGATACATTCTATTTCTATCAAATAAAAAGGCCAGTTTGATTAAAAGTTTTTGTTTTGTTGTGTTTTTTAAAATTAATTTTACTTTAATAAGGCCTTTGCCTAGAAATCTTATCTAGGCCAATGTTGTTTTTTTTCTGTTTCATTGTTCTCTGCTCTGGGCTACATGTTTGACCTACTTTCTAAGGCTAGGTCAAGCCTACTAAACAAGTACAATTTCTTTACTTTACATAAATAGTGGAACAAGATTTGAAGTCCTTTGCTGATTTTACACAAAGGGTTACCTTGGCTTTGCACTTTAACAATAAATATTTTATGTTTAACTAAAAGAAATATGTTTAATAAAAAAGATTCTTGTTGAACTGGTGTGATACTGTTGCTCATTTACCCTCTCACTGATATCTGGGTTAAGTGCAAGTGGGAACCTGGTTTTTTTCCTTGACAAAAAATCAATATCTGTGCCAAATAAAAAAAATATCTTTCTCTTAAGTTTCTGTGATAGTCAATTGTTCCATACTTTTAACCTCATAATCATACATAGCAGCTGTAGAAAAGTAAATTAACTGGCTTTTCTAATGAATAGAACAAAGGAGTTTAGTAACACAGTGGGATTGTGTCTGTGTGAACTTAAAATGAGGATTTAAAAAATCATTAAAATAAAATTCACTTTAATTAGACCAGCTTGAGAAATGTATATATGCCTATTTCTTATTGATAAACAGCTTTAAATCTTGCTTGAGCTATATATTGAACTAGTTAATTCCAATTTCACTAGTCTAGGCATATTTAGGTGGGAAAAAATTGACTTCTGCTGAGATCTCAGCTGAGTGTAGGTTACTCACCCCTGCTTATGCCTACGTTGGGTCCTCCATTTTGTCTTTTCCAACCCCTCCAGTTATTGCATACACTTTCGGGCTCACTTCCCCAAGAACAGAGAGAATCTTCCTCAAATCGATCACTATCTTCGAATGAAAACCTGTCCCCTTCATATTCCCATTCAAACATCAAGTCCATGATAATTACACAGTATTAGAAAATTAGTTGGGGAGTCACTGCCTTTTCGACGAGCCCAATCCAAAACTGGGTTGGTCGACGGCCTACCGAGCAGCAGACGTAGCCCGATTCTGAGATTTTGACACTTAATCAAACACCATATTGAAAATAGAGTACGGCGATAGTTTAAATCCTTCTATCAGAAATAGTTACATAGCTGTCCATCTAGATGAAAGCAACCTTATGAAATTGCTTCCTAATAGGGTAATATGTGTCGATTCTCGTCCTCCCAGAATACAACAATAACAAAGTCCTCCGGATAATGTCGAGTAAATCCGTGACCTTCCGTAAAGTCTGACTCTAGTTGGCTTCGGGAGAATTAATTAATTTTAAAGACTTTTCTTTTTTTCGTTTTCAATTTCGCTAAATTATTTAATTATATTCTGAAAGTAAACGAAATCAATTAAAATTAAATTAAGAAGTACTTTATCTTGAATATCATTCGATTAATGTTGAGCGAAATGGTTCTGTATATAACTAACTTATAATAATTTAGCTTCTCATTGTTACTAGGCTAGTGGGGCTAGTCTGTTAGCTATTTTCGGTTTCGTTTCAAGCAAGTATTTCATTTTTAGAATGGGGTTGTCTCAAAATTTTTAAGTTTAAGTTTTAGTCATCTGCAGACAGGGGGTGAACTGGGCCGCCGGGACACCGGGAAGATTTCCGATGGGCATCTAGGACCGGTGATATAATAAAAATAAAAGTCATGAAGATAGGGCCACTTTTTGTTGTTTTTTACCGGGCCGCTTTGATTTTTTCTCGGGCCGCTTGAACTCCCCAGTCCACCCCTGGGTGATTTGAAACAGCGGTTGAAGGCCGCATCATCAAGATTTAAACATTTTTTTTCTATGGGTTTTGATGAAACAGTCGACATCACTGGAATAGCACAGCTTGCCTTCTTCATCACGAGGGCACGCGACAGTGAATTTGATATTTATGAAGAACTGATTGAGCTGATCGCCAGGCATGACACTACAACAAGCCAGGAAATCGTTGAGGAAGTCGACCAGACTCTGCATGCTTATGGCTTTGGGATTGAGTAAGCTTTGTATGTTTGTGTGAACAGTTATTTTCGGTCATGAATCCATCATAAACGTATCAGAGAACACGGCTGACTGATCAACACTTGTCATCTCTGATCAACACTTGTCATCAGTGGCGTAGCTAGGGATAGCTAGGGATTTGGGGGCCCTGAGGGGGGGGCTTGGCTTCTTTGGGGGCCCCTGCATTTTGACATTCGACATTATTTAATGTTAAAAAAAAATTTGGATGCTCCTTTGGCCCCCCCCCCCCAAGTAGGGGCCTGGGGGACTTTCGAATTTGGACACCCCTCCCCTAGCTACGCCACTGCTTGTCATCTCTGATCAAAGTCGGATCTGCACAGACATTTCAGCCAGACATTTAAAAATGGCATTCAATTAAAAAGCGGTGTCAAGCCTCGGGACAAAACACTAAAACTTATCTAAGAGTCGTAAATAAATGTTCATTTTGAATTGTAATTTGTGTACAATGTTTTTGTTGCTGTTGCATACAAGTCTATTTAGCCTTTTAAAATTTCATTTTTGTTAATTTCTTTTTTCTTCTTTTGTTAAACTATCTTATTACTCTGTTTTCATGAGTGTGGCTAACAGCTAAACCATTTTGTATGCACATTGGATGTTTTTAAGCTTAAGCAATACACAGTTTCGCAATACGTTTTTAAAATAAATGACTTCAATTAATTGTCATCTGTGGCCCTCATAACAAGTATAGTACTGTAGACAGCATTTATTAGTATTACTATTAAGGTGGTTTTATATAGCGCAGTGCCCCAGCCAAGGGATAGGCTCACTGCGCTTCACATACAAATTAGCAATTAATTACAGAAAATTATACCTTTAAAAACAACAATTGGTGAATAACTTGACCTCACCACTCAAGTACTAATCTACCCCTGTTTAGCCACGGACAGCACTGAGCAGCGTCGAGCGTTGTTTGTCAGTTAGAGGGGGGGGGGTGAGAATGAGTCGGTATAGTAATAGGCCTACAGTTTGAAGAGATGGATTTTCAGGGGAAGCTTTGAAGGCTAGAATGGTCGTTATACTGCGGACGTGTAATGGGAGAGCATTCCATTGTTTTGGGGCACAGAAAGAGAACGATCGTTCAAAATATGTTTCAGTGCGTGTTCTGGAACAGAAAGAATACGCGTTGTGATCGTATGTATGACTGAGATTATTCTTGTGAGTAGTGAGTGCGAACTTTGTGACCTGATTGGCCTGTGTTGTTGTCATGTGGTATGACTGGACGTGGTGCTTTGTTTTTATTCATGGATATTTTAACTTAAAGGCTTGGAAAAGCGGAATGAGTGACCGTGAATGTGCATTATAAAAATAGTGTATAATAGGAATAAAGATCAGTCGCTACACCGGACACAGACGAGTTGGCATCATTCAATACTATTACACGCGAGTCTGCGGAGGAACGAAGCTTTCGGAGGGGTGAATAGACAGAAAGGTGTTCAGTAAGATAGGAAGGACAGGAACCAGAGAAAAGGTTGTGACAGTGGGGCTTTATTTAATATCTTAGTATAAGATGGAAGGAAAAGTGGTCCGCGAAGCCTTTTAGCTTTGCCAGGCCTGCGTAAGAGTGTAGAGTGTGGAGTAAAGGCTCACAATACTGTCCGCTGAACCTCGTCCGGTTACCCGGGTAGCAGTGAAAAATATAGAACCGGGAATCTATTTAGTCAAAAGCATACGTCCCATTGATACTTGAAACTTTATTTTTTAAAATAAAATTGTTCCTTAGTTTTAAATGTTATATTTGTTGTCCCCCGCCCTCTTACAAGTGCATTGTGTATAGGAATTCATTCCTTTTTTTGTCTTCAAAATATAGTCCAACTCCCATCAGTGTCTGGGGGTCACTGAATCGGTCACCAAGTGACTGCAGGACTGTCAACATCTCCCCTGCTTAAAGAGTTTGAGGACCCTTAATGTACAGCCTTCTGTCAACGCTTTATATAATTAACCGTTCTGTAATCCACAAAGAGTTGGTGTATCGGGGATGCTGTTTCCATAGCATTTATCTATAGACATCTGATAGCAAAGTTGTCATCTAAGTCTATGGTCGATATATTTTGTCGAAATCCAGATTGATAGTCACCAAATATCTGGTCAACAGACATTTCCAGTTTTATTACTATTATTTTAGTGAGGACTATGTACGCGTGCTAAATTGAGTAATTATTATTATCATTAAGGTGGTCTTATATAGAGCGGTACCCCAATAATTTGAGCATCCAATATATTATATCCTTTTTAGTGAATTTGGATGAACGCCGTTTCTCATTCACTCATTCCTTTTGCATTTCTTTCTCTTGCCTTATTCTGGATCTGATTTCGTGTATTTGTCTTTACAATTAATTCCTACATAGCCTCTTCAGTTCTGCAGTGATAAGGCTCATGGGGCTTTATTATTCTTCATGATCATAGCAAAAATCACACCTGTTGCTTCATTTAGAGTTGGTCGGCCCTTTTTGAGGTAGTTCGCAGTGGCATGACTGGGAGGTGCGGGCCACACCGGTTGAAACCCTCACAAGGGGGGGGGGGGGGGGGTGACACCCAGGGCTCCCAACTACTTAAAATAAAATAAAAAATTAATTAACACATAACTATAAATCACACCTGTTGCTTCATTTAGAGTTGGTCGGCCCTTTTTGAGGTAGTTCGCAGTGGCATGACTGGGAGGTGCGGGCCACACCGGTTGAAACCCTCACAAGGGGGGGGGGAGGGGTGTGACACCCAGGGCTTCCAACTCATTAAAATAAAATAAAATATTAATTAACACATAACTATTCTAAATATAAAAAATGACACATTTTTAAAACCTGTATATTAACTTCGTTTTTCTTTGTTGGTTGGCTGGGTGGCAAAATCTTCGGACTTCTTAGGTAAACTTTCGCCCTGTGCGAAGAACCCGTTCGGCGCCACCTTCCCTGTATGGCTTCGCTCTTTTTCCGATTATGACATAGGCTATGGAGCATGTGTTATGATGCTATACATGTAGCTCACCATACGCATTTTAACATGAGCATTAATTTAGAGTGTTTAGTTTTTCTATGGTACTTCACACTTCACTATAATAAACTAAGGGATTTTAAATATTTACTGGGCACCCCAGGTGCCACTATTACCACGGTGCCATGTGCGAGGGCACAGGTCGCACACCCTAAAGGCCGGCGTTGCGGACGGCTAATTGGCCTACTTTCCATCAACCTATCAAGCTGAAACTTGGTACATGGACTCGCTGCCGATGACGACACATTCTTTCAAATTTTCAGCCCCACCCCACCCCTAAAAATCAGTTTTTCAAGGGGAAGATGAAGGATATATGATGACACTGATATCAAGAAATAAACTTCCCGATAACTGCGCTAAATGAGTTTCTTTTAAAAAATATCGCAAGTGCGTTTGGTGCGTAATATTTTCGTTTGCTTTTGTTAAATAGTTAATGAAATAAATCTGCGGTGTAAAAGCAAGTGGCTCATTAGAATATTACTATAGTTTCGAGCCTGGAAAGAAAAGGAAGGAGGGGGGGGGGGACTAATTGTGATTCTTATAAACTGGGTTACTTGTATACATGTTTTGTTAAATTTTTAGCCCCACCCCATTTTTCGATATTACATTTTATAAGGGATTTATACTAAAAACGTTGTTGCTTAATTTCTACTTTCATTCCCAATAAAATATACTCTACATATTAATGTAGTTCAAATCCTGCATTAGCGTGCAATCGAATTGTTCCGTGCTCGTGCACATAATTTTTAAGTTATAACCGGAAATAAAAATCTGCTTCCTTTTTGTTGTTTTCCTCACAAAGTAAGGGCAGACTTATAAAATTACAGCTTTTAAATCCAATGTAATCTTTGTTTAAAAATTTTAAAAAATTGTCCTTTTACAGAGAGAAGTATTATGTATTTCAATATGTGTTAAATCTATGTTCGTTATAACTGTTATGAGTAGTTATTATATAAGCCTTAAACTGGAATTCAGTTTTACTTAAATTATGTTGACTTGTTCTAATTTTAATATTTTCATAAGTAATATAATTTATCTTTATAAATAATGTAGAAATGAAAAAGTTAAGTTCCTCAGATTAGAGGGAAAGCTTATCTCTAGAATTATAGCTGTGTACATGTACAGTGCCATTCACTGACAAGTTCCTCAGTTTAGATAGTAAAATCATGACTTTGACTTAGCATTATCATCAGTTATCATAAGTTAGACTGTGTTGGAGGCTGATTCCTAGCAAGTAGATTTAAAGCTTTTTACCTGTATTGGCTAGAAAGTTAGAGCTTTGTACCTGTATAGTGTGCAATTCACAATTTGGAATTGTTACATGTTTTTTTAGGGTTTGTTCCAACTTGAAGCAGCCTTAAGTTAGGGCCGGCCATAGGCCTAATTTGGCTAATAAATTATAAATAATTGCAGCTTCTCAGAGCTCAATTGTCAATGTTATTGTGGCAATGCACACAACAATCAACACTTCCTCTTGTTTTCACCCTCAACACGCCATTGTCACTAGATTATTATAACTAAATTTTTAGTCAAAATCAAAGTATGTGATAAGGCTTAACTGCTGTGCACAATTTGAGTAGAAGCAATAAATAAAAATAAAGATGAAACTGACCGTTGTTGTCCTCTCTCTTATTTTATTTTTGGTGTTCTTGCATATTCTATCATAGTTAGTATAGCCTATCTTAATATCTAAGAAAAGCCAACATCAAAGTCGTTATGCTCATTGATTGCGGTAAAATCCTAAATAATATTTGAAGTAAAAAAAAAGGGGGGGTAAACATTAAATGGAACTGAGTAAATATCTAATAATGAACATTCATTTGGTTGTTATTTTTACCAACGAAGTGTCTACACGTCCGGCGCGCCGGAAAAATAGTGCGCAAGATATACGTCCGGCGTCATGTCACGTGACCGCCGGACGGCTAGTAGTTTTTATAATTCCGAACGAAGTGCAGTTTGGTAGATCTTGTGTGGTCTACTGGTATAGTGGTCGCTTGACGTTATGATGATTTGACGATCAATACCTGTCTAGGATCGTTTTTTTCCCCCATTTTAATTAAAAGTATTTTATACTATATTTATATAATTATGTTCATCAGCAATAGTAGTTTCATGAGAAGTTTTTAAATATCTTGTAGCAATTGAAACAATTTAAAATGAAATTTTTTACTTTTATTGGTTGCCTACTCCATACTCATACTGGCCCCTAATTTATTTTACGGATTACTCAAATTACTGGTACACAAACTCAAATAAAAAACTAAACAAAAATGTTTACAAGCCACTTTCACTTAAGTTTTTTTCTATCATTTGCATGCAAGATACTCGGTACATTACTTGGTAGAGAAATAGATTTTAAAATTAACAATAGTTTTGAATCATTCGTGGTCACGTGACAAGGCTGACCGACAAGATATCTCTCGCCACTTGTTGCGGCGGTCATGTGACTTGGTCACCGGACAAATAGTGCGGGAGATATATGTCCGGCGCGCCGGATGTGTAGACACTGTCTAAAAAAAAAGGACAAACAAACTCAACATTTGTTGGTTTGTAGCATATTCTAAATTCACTGTCTTATTACTCAACTTACTGAACTTACTGTCCCTAAGTTCCTTGAACTACTTAACACATTTAGGCTTAATGATCTGTTAGCCTCATTTGGTTCTTCTCTGACTCCTCTCATTTAAAATTAGGCATGATATGTTTAGGCTTAGGAATTGGTGTTGATTGATTGGATTATTAATTTAAAATTTTTAAGTGACTGAATAAGGGAGTGGAGCCCTCTGTTTGATTTGGTTTCAGAGGGTGCAATTTGTGAACGAGCTATAATAGTAATACATATTACATTACCTGTTTCTTTACTTTTGTCAACACATCATTATCACAAGATTACTATTTATTCTAAAATATCAGTAAAATGTATATAATTTCCAGTTAGGGTTTGGGTTATATCTAAGGGATACAATAAAGTTTATACATTCATCCCAATTTTTCATTTGGCTCTGACTAATTTGATAAGGAAGCATTGAGCTCTACCCATGGCATATCATCTGCCTTTAAAATTATGCAGTTAAGCCTAATTAATGATTAGTAACAATTAATTGTCTAAACCTAGAAGAATATGGCAGTGGCTTAGCATAAAATAAATTAATGAATTGCTAAATAGTGCCTAGGATATACATTTAAGTCTTACTTTCATTTTAGAGAATGGCCCCAAGGAGAGGAAAGCCCCAAGCGCAAGAACAGGTGGTTCTGGGACCACAAGCAAAAGAAGGAGAAAATGTCTTTGGTGTTGCGCACATTTATGCCAGTTTTAACGATACTTTTGTACATGTGACTGATTTGTCAGGAAAGTAAGTAGCCTAAAGGCCATTTCAAATTTTATAAAGCCTAGTTATCTATCTGTATATTTATAATAGTAAGCTTAGTGCAGAGCTTATGAAGCTTTTAATTAGTCTTATTCTTATATGCAATAATTTAAAAGATCAAATAGTTTGTACATTTTATTTTCTTGTAGGGTGACAAAAGATATTCAAAGCTGTCAATTGTGGGAAAAAAAATAAATCTTACCATTGCGTATTGCAGTTTTTTTAAATCTTACATAAATTTTAAAAATAAAAAAAACTTAACACTTTTATTTCAGGGAAACAATCGCTCGTGTAACTGGTGGTATGAAGGTAAAAGCTGATCGTGATGAAGCTTCCCCATATGCTGCTATGTTGGCTGCCCAAGATGTAGCTGAGCGCTGTAAAGGTCTGGGAATTACCGCTCTGCACATTAAGCTGAGAGCTACTGGTGGTAATAGGTAAGCTTTGAAATATTGCAATCAGGCCTATGACATTCCTATAATTGTCTATACGAATCTGCAAAGGCAGCCCCTTGCATTTTACCAAACTTTATTATGGTGGCATGGGCAAGCAAGTTAAAGAACCAGACCTGTTCAATTTTGAGATGTCTTTTACCACTGATTTCCTGAACCAACACACCCAGAGAGTTAAAATAAAAACAAATTTATTCAGCTTTTCGGCACCTTATCTCCATATGATATGGTATTAATCAAATACTCTCCTACTGTTTCTCAATTTCCCTGTATTTCTTCTTTTTTTTTTCCTTAGATTTTATGTACAGTATCTCTAAATATTTTGGTCCGTTAAACCTAAATATTTTGGTCCGTAAAGATTCTGAACCTTATTTTTTACAGTACTAATATTATTCTTTCACCCTGTAATCTACTTCCTGCAACAACAAAGGAGATCTATTAGGTTTTTACTGAGCTCTGTTTCTTGTTGTATTTTCATTTGTCCTGTTCGCTAAGCCGAAATGTTCACATATTATTGTCCTGTCTTTTGATTCAAGCTTTTAACATCTTGTTCTACTATTTCTTTTACCATTTGTATTCTGAGATCCATCTGAACTAAGATTTTTAAGAGACTGTTAGAGAAAAATAAGTACATCAGTTGTTGGTTTTAGCTAGTCCTTTCTACATACATCGGTGAGTGGTCCGCGAAATACGATTTGTTAGGGCTATTCAAATTTATACTGTATTTACAATTACGATACAGGCTTGTTTGTGATTTTGATATGATTAAGTACAATCCTGAAATTATATTGATCTATTGTGGGAGTTCCATGGTAACCAAGTCTGGCAAACTTATAATAAAGCAATTTACAACATGTACAAGAATAAAAGCAACAAACATTGTGTAAGTCTATACTGGGTACTTATTCAATACTGATACTTGAAGCCTTTGAACAAAATTTTTCTTGGCAAAAACAAAGAAAATAAGTTTTCTGTGGAGTATAGCCGGATAAAAAGTTAAGAACGTCCTCTATGGCGGATGTTCTGCAGTGAAAAAAAATGTTGCTCCCAATTCGCTACTGAAAATCAGTTTCTTAAGGCCCAGGTGGTCATGCTATATTGAAATAAAGCAAATAATGTCATTAGTTTATATCCTGAAGCTGACAGTTGTGTGTACTTAATCTCTTGGGGGGGGGGGGGGGGTTCATAGGGGATTGTGCTTGGTGATGCCAATGCCTGCTTTTCCGATGTAATAAAGTAAGCTCTATTATACAGCCCATCTTTTTTGGAACAAATATGTTGGCCACATGGCCCAATTATTTTGTATACCTGTTTTACGTTTTTTCTTCAAATTAATATTTAGATAAGAACTGAACTGAAATTTTTTATGTTTTAGGCAAACAAACAAGGGCACTGACTGAAATATTTTAATCCTTTACACTACAGTTTTAAAAATAACTGTGCACCTAACATTTCAATTGACTATTTAATTTTTTTAAAGGACTAAAACCCCTGGACCTGGAGCACAGTCTGCTTTGAGAGCTTTGGCACGTTCCGGAATGAAGATTGGTCGTATTGGTAAGTTATTTTATTTTTATTCATGTTGCAAACATCAGATACAAATAAATAAGTTGTAATATGAAGTTATTAATTACATGATTACTGGATGAAGTGTAAAACATTTACTTACAGAGAGTAAGAGCTGTTAATATAGACTACCCGAATTCAAAATTTTCTTTTAACTTGGAACAAGGCACTAAATTCTTTCATTGAATAATTTTAATGTCTTTTCTTTGGAACTTAACACCTTGGTACTGTAGTGAATTTTATTAATCTATTTGACTTGTATCAATTGGAAGGTACCTACATAATGTGGATATGTTCTAATTGTCGGTGATATAAGGTGTGCAAACTTTATTTCAATATTAAGTTTTAGTCATGTCACAATTTTTTACATTTTTTTTATTTACAGAGGATGTAACTCCTATTCCATCTGACAGTACCAGAAGAAAGGGTGGTCGTCGTGGTAGACGTTTGTAGGCTAATGTGGACTCTAATAAAGTATTCATGTTTCCATTACAATTGTTTTTTTGTATGTATTATTCAATATTTGTCCAAATTTAGTGTACTGGTACTAGTGGTACTGAAACTACTGTGCTTCATAATAGTATTTTTTATGTTGTTGAGAGTTGTGTTTTCTAAACTGTCTTGTTCATTATATATATTTGCTATTCTGGAAAAACATGTTTTATTCCCACAGTACAGGTACTGTATCCTAATAGCTATAAAGGAATTGTGAGCTCGAGGCATTATCAGATATAAGTTTAAAACCAATACCGTGTCTTGCCTAAATTGATAGTTAAATTATTATTTTTTGTGTGAATTATTTATAACAGACATTGTTAAATCTCATGAGAATTGTGGGTCTGGGAACACCAAAGGGCAGACTGAAATTTTCCAGAGTTGCAGCATGCTTCAAAAATGTGCAAAAATCCATTTACTAGAATTAATTACAAATTTTAAAAACTCATATGAAGCAGTTATAAGTTTATGTGAACATTCTCCCATGTCTCAAATGTCTGGGTGCATTAAAACTTATTTTAAGTTAATACTTAAAACGTCAACAACAAATCATAGTTATAGTTTTCTGTTCTATGACTTGTAATACGGGTACATTAATTCTTTCTCCTACATGCTGTCAATGAAATAGAAAGACTAACCAAAAAAAAAAGATATCCATGCTATATTTCACTGCAATGTTATTGATACAAAATTAACCAAGCTTAACTTAATCTATTGAAATGATGATGCCAAATTATTACACTTAAGCAGAAAAAACCTTAGGCATTAAAGTCTCACTACCTGGTACCTAATTGTATTTGTTACTCTAACTCTAATTAGATAAAGCAAATTTGAATTTATATAATGTTGAAAATTATTGGCAGACACTCAAACAAAATACCCAGTAGCCAAAGGGAAATATATATACCGGTACCTGAATACCAGTACATTTTAACATTAGGTCAATATTAATATTAAATTCAGTTTGAAGCCACTTGGTAATAAGTATCTTAATGGTATTCTACTATATTATTATTAACTTCTATTCACTGTAACTAAAAAAAACCTCTTCAGTATCATTAACATTATGCAATTCAAAATGTATTTCAATTACTGGTATGTTTTCAATTGCCTGAAAATTAATCAGTGTTTAGTCAGGTTCAGTATTACTATTACTACTCCCGGAAATGCAGAGTATCACTATTAGTACTGGTACTATTAGTTTTGTATTAGTACTATTAGCACATTGGCAATACACTTGGTACTAATGGTACAGGTATTAAAAAAGTTCCACCCAGTGTATGACAGCATGCTTTGATTTATAATGTGGCTTGCTGAATGTCTAATAAGAAACAGCAATTTAACTGATAACTTGATTTTCTCTTGCATTTTTCTTTTTTTGCATTCTTTCAGGAGAGTTATGGTGATAAAGATACCGGTACATAAACAATTACGTCATCAAATATCAGCGGCCAATAGCTTACAGCCACCTCTATAGAGCCTTCCACCCTTATTATTTTCATCTACACAAAAGATATGCCCCTCCTCAATAATCTCCACACCTATTTCTTAGTTTCTGGAAAGTTATAAAGGGGTTGCATCACTTAAAAGGTTAGAACCGCTGGGTTAGTACCGGTACTGTATTACCGAAATCAAGTCTCTTTGTGTTTTGAAGTTTTCACTTTTACATCCTGGTCCCAAATGAGTGGTACACAAATTACTGTATCCGTACCATAGGCCTAAATAAAAATGAGATGGTAACTTCAAAAAAAAAAAAACACCCGATGGGTCTTTTCTCCAAATACCTGGACTGGCTGTAATTGTAATAAAAGCTGCACCTCTCAGCCCTTTTTTTGTTTTGAAGTTTTCCCTTTTACAACCTGGTCCCAAATGAGTGGTACACAAATTACTGTACCCGTACCATAGGCCTAAATAAAAATGAGATGGTAACTTCAAAAAAAAAAAAAAACACCCGATGGGTCTTTTCTCCAAATACCTGGACTGGCTGTAATTGTAATAAAAGCTGCACCTCTCAGCCCTAATTTATATTGGGCTTCAAAGGAAGGCATTAAAATTTAAATGAACTTAAACAATAACAATGCTTCCACTTTAGTTTAGTGCTTTACTTTAATTACGGTTTGGTAATACAAAAATAAGGTTATTTAAAAATGTTATTGAACACCGGTCTTAATATCGGTAAGGCTTTTAACATATCACCCTTTAACATGCTAAATAAAATTTCAAATATTAGCATATTTAATAATATGCTGTTTTGGTACGGTACGTAAAAAAGTTTACTCAAGAAGTTAGAATTCAAAGAAATACTTTCAAACACTTTCACGTTCCTATATTTATATGGAATGGAATATTTTGCTTTGTAAAATAATTCTAATGTTGAAATAATATACCAAAAACCATACAATAGCTGATTACAGAAAAAAAGAATTACTTTGCTAAAATAAAACAATGGGAATGAGACAATGACAATAATATATAACTGTGAATTGTAAAAACTTTACATTCTTGTGCACTCTGTCAATGTATTAATTACCGTGGCTCGTTTTGTAGTTGATGTGCTTTCCAAGCCGGAAGGAACTCTGAAAATAAGTAGAAAAACAATAATATGCAAAAAATATTTAAATGTATATTTTCTGTAAATATAATATATGCAATAGGTGTCACTACTAAACATTTTTATAACGATCTTATTTTTGAACATAAAATAAAAATGAGTAGAAGAATTATCTATCACAAAAATGTTATGTTATAAAAATTGTTAGAAACAGTCTAAACAATATGTTTTATTCTTTTACTCTTATTGGTGGCAAATTTAACAACATAGTAACATTCTCATAGGTAGGGATAGGAAATACGTCATGAAAATTAATAATATATACAAAGTTGCATTTAAAAGGTGGAAGTACAACATGTTATAAGAAATTCACAACTGTTAATTGAAAATGAAGTAGACTGGAAACAAGTCCCAACTATTTAGTTCAGTTAAAAAATGCACCACATATCAACATGTATGCATGAACATGCAACTTGAAGCAGTTTTCACACATTTGACAGGTAATTGGTTCCTGATACGGTACATCTACATCATCGTACATGATAATTGTACAAACAGTTAAAAATATAAATGGATTATTTAATTGATTCAAAAGAAAAGCAATAAAATGGATTTTATTAAAGGTAAACTATCATCACAGCACAAAATATTAATATGGTTTGGTTAGAGTAAAGCAAAAACAGAAATTGTGTGGATTTTAAAGAGCACTCACAATATGTAATGTAATTTGTAATTCACATTTTATGCAGAGAATTGTTCACAGGAAAGTTAAGGATAAACCCTTATGTTATTAGAGTTAATCGTGTTAGTTAGGAGTAGTAATGGTAATAAATTTGTACCGAATAGTAAACTCACCTTATCCAGCATTGATGCAGTAAGATAAAGAAATAGTTTAGAATTATTTTCTCTTAGTTAAGCAGTTGATAAAAAAACATTTTGCTTTGTTTTTGTCCGTAGTATTGTCTTACAATACAGCTTATAACTGACTTAAAAGTGAAGATCTGAGAACAGAGTCTCATGTGAATCAACAATGTCAAAGATCAAGACGGCACTATATGGTACTTGCATTTCAACGTGGTTAGCTGCCAAGCTTCTCACACTCTTTAGCAATCACTATTTTAGGTCAGTCAGTAGAATATTTGTGCAGTCAACCTCTGATGCACCTTGTTAATTAAAATTTGAGTGTAAGTTGTTAAGAAAAAAACAATGCAATTTTATTTTGTCTCTTCCTTATGCACATTTTGCCAGACAGTAAATTAAAATGTAAGTACAATTTAAATCATTTATGTACCCGGCTCCATTTATGACTCCCTCTCACGCCCAAACTCATTAATTTAATAAAAATCCTCAATTCAGTGTGAATCTGGCTAATTATTCATTGATTAATACCATTTTTTTTTTACAAGTTTCCAAAGAAAAACAACAAAGCTAGTTCTTCTTCTTTTTTTTAAAAGGATGTTTATTCCACACTATTTGTATATAATGTAGATATGTACACACAAAACCAAGAGAAGGAGCTACCATACAGTACACAACAGCACAACCTATTATGCTAAATGCCCCAGGTGCTTTCCCTTCATCAGATCTGTAAGGTTAATAAATAATTTATTTAAAAAAAAGGGTAACTTAGGAATCTCACCCATTTAAAACAATAACAAAACTAATCAGATATGTGTGCAAATGAATGAAAAAGGACATCAAAACAGTTATTTAATGCATGTTAACTGTAAGGAGTTACTTTAACAATACATTAAAAAGTCCTTCCATCCTTTTTTAAACGGAAAAAAATAGTGTTAATATCTGTCATACTTAATGATTTTTAATAAAGACCATCGATGTATAAGTTGCATTACATCATTTTAAAAGTTTATTATATATAGGTGATGAATTCATTTGGTTTAGAAGATTTTCTTTTTTCTTTTATTTAAAAGCCCTGCATTAATGGGAAAAAAATGTACAAGATCATAATTAAATATAAAGTTATCAAAGTTTCCCTCTAGTAGTAAGTCCAGTTTAAGCACAGAATGTTAATAATAAGCCAAATGAAATTATTACTAGGTACTATAACTAACCTACTTTCCTCAAAGCTAAATTTAAACACATTAAAATAAATTTATAAAAAGTAAGTCAGTTCAAATGCAAACAAAGACCCTTTGCACTTGCAGAATTTAAAAAAAACAAAATTAGTGTTTAAAGAAATAAAAAATAAATTTCAAGAGTGAGTCTGGAGAAATGAAATTATGCAAAAATGTCACAGCCCTTTTTCAAAAAGTGAACCTTAATTAGTGAATAGCATGCATTTCTCTTTTAAAAAAAATAAAATGTAACTTTTTAATTATTCATGAAATACCAGTAATACAAACAGTACATTTTCAACATTTATTTGAATTTTAAAAAATAAATTTTCTAGTTACAGCTCATTAAACAGAAAAAAAAATTAAATTCATCAAGAGGATATTGCTTGTACTAGTAATCTTTCAGTACATCTCATGTCCAGTTTATTAAAAATGAGTAGCATAAAATATAAAGAGATGCAGATATTTAAGGGTAAAATAGCTTAAGGCCTTCAGACTTTTTAAAACATCTCTCTCTTCTATCAACAATACAATATTTTTGTGTATAGGACTGCAAATTGAGAGGAACAAAGGTTATTATATAAATTTACATTAATTTTCATGGGATCTTCAAGAAAAAATTAATTTAATTCTCTCTTGATTCATATATCTCGCGAATGAAACAAAAATACAGTAATATATTCTAAAAAAAAACAACCCACCTTTCACAGAAAATACTGTCGCTGTGTTTACTATTAGTGAATGGAATTGGAAATCTCCTGACTGCCAAAGCTATACTGTTTATATAGATGTCAAAAAAGACTCTTAAAAGGCTGCTGGGATATCAGCAAATGTGAGAAACATTATGCTTCAAATTCTACCCATCCCAACCAAAGAAGCTCAATAACAACTGCATCAAAAATAGGTTGACTTAAAGTTTTTTTAAAAGGCAAAAAAAAAAACCAAAAAAAAAAATGATACAATAATTTTAGCTTTAACAATTATAGCGTGGATGGGACAAGCTAAATAGGTTACTACACTGTACTGAACTATTTCTCTAAATTCAAGGTGTGCTTGGTAGTAGAAGCACAATGATAACACATCAAATAATGTAAATTTATGTTTGCATCCACTCAGGATGATACAAGATAAATAACCAATCTCAAACTTATATTCTGTAAGCAGTTTTTACGTCCCATGAGAGAAGGGAAAAAGTCCAATTATAATATTTCCAGGCTTAATTTTGTTTATTTTTGGGAAAAAAAAATTTATTAAAGAAGCATTTACTATCTTACATAATAAAAAGATTAACACTTTGTGTCAGTAAACAATATAATTTTTTTTTTACTGTTTCAATTTCAACACTGAAAAATGCACATCAAATATTAATTATATTTCATGTACAAAAATTAACACGAATAATAGTTTTTTTTATCATTTGAATCAAGACTATTACACAATTGGGTAAGTATTTGGTTAGCCATCATTCATAGATAGCCACTAGGTTCCACAAATGCCACATTTAATGGCAAAGACCTCTGTGAAATATCTCAACAATTCTAAAACAATTGACCTCAAGATAAAAGTAATGAAAAATATAAAATAAATAAGTCAAAATGTGGAGACAAAATAAAAATAAATTTTTAAGTGTCTTTAATTAATTATAAAAAGACCATATCTGGAGAATAGAAATTTTTCCTTAAAACATCTTTTTTTTTTTTTTTTTTTTTTTTTTGAAGAACCATTCTTTAGCCCTATTTCTTTCTTTCCGTCTTGTCCTATGGACACAACCTGCTGGACAAATATTTTTGGTAACATATATGGGACATTATTTTTTATAAACATTAATATATTCTCATGGAACAATAATTTTAAATGTATGCATTTCTTGCACATTGAAACTTATTAACATCAAGAGCTTTTTTTTAAAAATGTGTACCACTTTGTTGCAATAAGACTTTAAAAGAAACGATCACCAGTAAGTTAGACATCAGAGGACATACATAGTTTATCTGTATAACTTCAGGCTTTCCATTTCATTTCAAGAAGAGGACTCTGGGTCCCGTGTTAACGCAAATACAAATTGTATACGGTATTATACTTTTTTATACTCAATTTTAAATTACTTTATATTGAATGCAAAAGCCTTTATTTGTTAAGTAATTTTTCAAGTATATTACAGTTTGTGTATAAAATATATTTTAAGGTGATATTTTATTTCTACAAAAAAAATAATTTAAAAAACAAATTTCTACTAGCCTTACTTTGATATTTACATTTCTTGCCATATATCATTACAGTAATAAATAAGCATGTCTTTTTAAAGAGTAGTTTTCCTAGATACATTTGAATACTTTTGCATATAGATATATAACTGGCAAGAAATTAAAAAAAAAAGAAAAAGAGTATACTTGCTTTGAAAATAGAAATTATAAACACTCTAACATATCAATAAACTTAGTTTTAAAAAATAACAGTTTTGCTGGATGACTGCTGAAAAGAGATAGATTTAGTTATCAAATCTAAAATACTGAAGGACAATCTTAAAAAAAAAACAACTACATTATCTTATTTACATTTAGACAACAGTTTCTTAAATGTTTATATTAGATCCATATAGTGATGATAAATGCATATCTTTTATCTTTAGCAAACACAGTTCATAACATGTGTCAGTGCTTTAATAAATTTATTCTACGATGTAGTAATATTCAAAACAGATGCTTAGTGTATGTCTTACAGATTAGTTAATAGTTCCATAAGCTTCCAGTAACATTAGTCACCTATTTTAATTTTACATTTACACTTTATTACTTAAAACTAGTCTACAAATTTCTATTAAATTTAAATGTGAAATTTAAGTTCATTTGGATTTTTTTAATTAAAAAAAAAAATTATTTAAAAGTGTAACTAGCCATACAAAAAGAAACAAGCAAAATTAAGACTAGAGTTGTAGCGATTCAAACATAAAAAGCAATGCAACCAACTCATCAAAACAAAAATAAATGCATGCATTGGGACAACTAAATTTATATAAAAAACATAAATACAATTTATGGGGGAACAGTTTTACAAATACTATACATATGATAAAAATAAGAGAACAGAATCCGTCTGCTTTTTAAATAGTTGATGCTCAGGGACTGGACCAACGCAAATCACAGTACTTTTACATCCACTAATTGGGACCAGCATTGAAATCAAATTTATTTTAAGGAAGAAAGTTTTTTAAAAATTTAACAAAACAAAAGTTAGAGCTAACGATAAAAGCTTTCACTAACCCTCTGTTAAATACAAAGACAAAATCCTTCATTCCTCACACCACACCAAAATGTAAATACATGAAAATAAACATATTTAGGGTTATACATCAAGTGTTACTGTAATTAACAGCAATTTTTTTTCTCTTCCCTTTAAATACTAGCAACAATGTAAGTCCCCAGTAAAACTGGATTTAATTTTATTTTTACTGTAATGTATGTATATATCTATATATATCTATATATATATATATCTATATATATATCTATATATATGTCTATCTATATATATCTATTATATATATATATCTATATATCTATCTATATATATATATATCTCTATATATATATCTATCTATCTATCTATCTACATCTCTCTATAACTATCCAATCGATCTATCTAATCAACCAACCTATCCAATCAATCAATCAATCTGTCTATCTAATCAATCTATCTAATCTATCTATCGATCTATCTATCATATTACTATAAATCTTTTTGGGGTCATTTGAAGGGTTAAATTATTACATGTTATTGGAAAAAACATTTTGTTAAAGATTAGGCTTAATGCTGTAGTCCGGAATGTTTTGGAGAGTTAAAGCTCTTCCCCTGTAGAATGTATTTTGCTTAATTTCTAAAACAAATAAAAACAGGTCATGGTGCACTAAAGACATAGCAAGCAAAAAAGTTACACCGCATCCAATTCTTACTCCCCTTTTAAGCATACAATGTTATTTGAAAGGCAAAAATCTAAATTTCATGTGTTTTTTATAGCATGATGTAAAGAAAATGAAGTTTGAAGACTGGGACTTTTAAAATTAATTTGCCGATAAAAAAAATAAGGTTCTTAAGAATCTTAAAATATTTATGGTTTTAACTATTCTGTTTATTTAAATTAAATGTTTTTTGAAAAATAAATCTCTGAAAAAACTCATGACAATCAATATTTTCAAAAAGCTATTTTTTTTATAAAAAAACAAATCATTCCTTATAGATATTTTATTTTACAAAAACTATTTTTTGACTAAAAATTAAGTTTGCACTAACAAACTTTAATGTCTCAACTTTGCTCTATTTAATTTCTTTAATATTTCTTTATTAACCCTCTTGAGACAGCCCAGAGTGTTATGGCTAAAAAGATGAAAGGCCGAGCTCACGGCCAGATATGAAAAGCCTAGGGATTGGCTGGCTGGTCTTTGTACCAGCTAATCGGATTGATTTTTTGCATTTCTTGATCAGCTTGCCATTTTAAGGGGAGACTTTCCATTAATATTTTACGGTGTTCTGCCATTTTATATAAGAAAATTTGTACCTACTGAGCCCTATAAATGATTAAAAAAGTGTGACCTTGAAATAGGCCAAAAGGCATAAGCAGCCCCCGCTGCATTTTTTCACATTGAATCTCATTCAAATATGGGTTAGGACTTAGGCTTCAACAATAACATAAAAAAAATTCAGCAAATAAAACAATTTTATTCTAAATGCAAATTTTAAAAAGAAAAAACTGCATGCATAAATTATGCAAATCAGGATATCTAATTTGGGTAAATGTTGAGATTTCACTTTGATTCCTAGATCTCATTTTACTTCATAAGAGTATATATAGATTTATATTTGTAAAGTAAATTGTTTTTTATTATTTTATTTTGCAAAGTAAGTGCAGGGCTAGTATAGAGGGCTTCTTAAAGAGGCTAGTCCAACAAGCTCTGTCTCAAGAGGGTTAATTTCTACAACCTTTTAAGTTAATGATAATTCAACATGCACACAATTTTTTTATCTTTTTTTTTTTAGGTAATCGTGGTTAATTTTAATACTTTATCGCATATATGGACAACAAACTAAACAAGTAAATAAATCCAATCTATGAGTTTTTCCTTATTAAGTATTAGAAATCCATGAAATTAGCCTGGCGTTTACTTTTAAATTTAAACGAACAAAAACCCTGACTAAAATTAAAACAACTGTAAAAACATATTTATTGAAAATGTGAACAATTTAAACAAAAAAAACTAACAAACCCAAATATTTCTTTTTTTTTCTTAATCCTATTTTCGCTCATAACATTAACATTGCGAGGTCTAAGATTTATAAATAAATCTAAATACATCTATGCAAGTGTTTTTCAAATTATATTCTTCTGCATACAGATATTACTCTAACATAGAATGCTACCTATAAATACAGTCATTCGTTTTCTCAAATTGCAAAAGTTATTTTAGAAAATTTACCAATGAGAATCAGAAAAACATGCAATATTAATGATTCAATGATATGAAAGGCCTGGTAACAATTTGAGGATAAAAATATACCATACACTGTCAGATTTTCTTTTAGAGAATGTGTTTAAAATATTTATTTTACACTGTACAGTTTATTTCACACCTCCTTCGGGGAGCTGTAAAATAGATGAAATTTAAAAAAAAATCATTCTGCATTTTTTAAATCTCAACCTGACAATGTCTTCTCAAATCAACCAAAAAAAAACAACAAATCTTTTATTTCTTAGGACCAAATAAACCTTTGACATCATGATTCTTGTTGCCAGAAGGTGTTTTGTTTAAACTGAGTTTTGTGTCTAAATAACATAATCCAGAGGTTGAAGTTAAACTTTTTTTCTGGAAAGAATATGTTAACTAAGTCAAGATTTAAAATATATTGGCAAAGTGGAACTGAGCAAAGGTCCATGTAATGCGCACAGATCAAATTATTTATTTACAAATTATTGCTTAAGAGAAATACATAGAGGAAACAAAAAAAGAAAAGGAGGTTTAGACACTGATTTTGCCCATCAGTCTTTTAAAAACCCTATAAGTTACAGGACATGAAATAATTTAGTTTTAAGAGATTACTCAACTGAAAAGAAAGTTAAGTTCAATGGCATTCAACATTTCATGTAGCATCCTTAAAATCTATTATCAAAAATCATTTTAAAAAAAATGAGCAGCAGACACTGGTTAATTAATGGTGTTGGCTAAAGAAAAAAAGCAGATTGTTTGAGGTGATGTAGCTGTGGCGTTACAAGGTTAAGGCCAATAAATGATGGACTGGGGTTGCTGTGAATTTGTCTAACAATTTTTGTTAGATCATCAGTGCAAAGAAGATTATATAGAATTTACAAAATATTGTAGAACATGACCTAGATTAACATTCCATTAAGATTTGTCTAGGCTACTATGTTTAGTACAGCACACAAAAGTGTCATTCCAGACATTGCTATGGGACATTTACAAAAGAGTACATTTGAGATCCAAACCTTTCTTTAAAGTAGGACAGTTACCTAGAAAATAAAAGATATATTAACTAGACTCAATGAAGCTTTTCAACGCAAATATTGTTTAAAAAATTAAAAAATTTGAGCACCATGAAATAACATAACTGTGCATATACATTCCATGATAAAGTTAAAGGCTGAATTTTCAGATATAGGTGTGTGATGTATACGAATTACATTATGTTATAGAAAAAATATTTATTTACTCAGTTGATCTATACACTATAAAATTAAATATTTAACAAAACGACAGCATAAATCAAAAGATATCATAAAAGGGAAACTTACAATTGTAAGTGCTTTAGTTGAAAATAATATAAATTAGGGAGGGCTTCTCACAAAACTATATTGTTTCGGTCTTAAATTAAAGTTTATAAACACAACGTTTTAATTCTCAACATGTTATATTTCAATTTTAGAATATTATTTGTTTTAAAGCAATGTGATTTGGGTGAGCTGTATAGTTGTACTTTTGTAATATTTAAACCAGAGTATAAAAAAAAACAATAAAGCGATAAAACTACATCAGAAGCATTAGTGAGCACCATCACCCTATATTAGGCAGACCCTTTTAGAAAAGGTCAAAGATAATTACAGCAAAGTTAAACTTGCACTATTTTACTTTTTTCTTTGAGATGTTTTTGAAACAAATATTTGACTCAACAAAAAAAAATCTTCTATGTGATACAAGAGTGGAATTTATACTGATTCCTACATTTTAAGCAATGTTGAATTAAAAAAAACAACCTGATGTGAACACAATAGGTCTTACATGTCTTTTGTTTCACCAACATTCTTAACTTCATTGGGAAAATATATATATTTTGGTATGGATATGGCATTCAGATAATAAAGAGCTGAAATGGGGAGTAGGGGGGATTTTTTGCTTTTAATCTAGCAAAATTTGGTGCATATTTATCAATTATTAATTTTATGGTAATTAACCATAGTTAAATATTCCCAGTTGAAGCAAGAGAAACATGGCAGCATACCTCCCATTTAACAACAGTAAAGTTATGTGTATAACATATATCCTCAATTTTTATCTTAATAATAAAGAAAGTAGTTAAAATATTTTCTTGTTAACTTTCCCATAATTTAAAAAAAAATACACTGACAAAAATCATTTAGTTAAGTTATATTTTACACTTTAACAGATAACGGATAGTGTACTTGCAAATACCCACGATACTCATTATTGGAATTTTGGTGCACTTAATTTTGTCATGACATTGGACATATCTAATTGTTTAATTAATGCTTATTGCTTTTGTTATTTATTTAATTTACAATAGCATACTTAGACGGATTTAGGAACGTGTGCAGGAACTGGACTACATGATTTGAAGTGTACAGGGATTTAAATTTTTTTTCATCGTCACAAAATTAGCCTGTTTAATCAGGAGCAGAAAAGATATTACAATAAATATGTAAGTTCAGTTTAGTAGTTTGAAAAAAAAATCGTCAGTTGTGACTCAAATAAACTCAAATTATAAATTCATATTAACCTATTATATTCAATTATATGACATATTCTGTAAGGTATTTTTTGTTAAATGCATTTAAATATTTTATATTTCATTATCTTTGCTGTCCTTTAATCTGCCGTATTATCAAGAGGGACCATATAATTATATTTGATCTTTTCTTCAATCATGCTGTTTTGTTGACCGTACAGTGTTTTATTTCTACAAATGTATACTTAAAAAGTAGGTTAAAAAAAATAAAATTGCCCAACATACATCTCAATGTAATTATAGGACCATAGTAGAAATATTTTTGTTTTATAAAATTATGCTTCCCCCTTTTTGCGAGCAGTATAATTGAATGGGATACACTCCTTAACTTAGCATGTTGACAATCTCAAGAACAACTAACGCTATCTCTAAACAGAATGTGTAATTTTTTTTTGGACAAAAATAAAATTAAAGACTATTAACTTGAACTATATAAAACTTTTAATTAACAACATGACGACAACTTATCAAAGTAATGAACATTTTTTTTTAATCCCTTAAAATATATTTCACAATTGAAAAATCAGGATTGTGATAAAAAATGGTTGTCATTGAGAGGGTTTTGGAACGCATGTGTAAGCGAAATATTTTCTGAGCAGTGAAGAGAAATAAAGCATTTACAATTACAAAAACCAACCCTAATCAGACTGAAGCAGGAGAGGTAAAATAAAAACCAACATATAAACAGGAGTTTATGAATTTATAAAAAACAAACACAAGGAAAGAAGTTAAATTCCACAGAGTTAGAGATATTCAGTTATTTTCAGCATGTAACAATTTAGTTAGCACTGTTTATGTTTTTAGATTTAAAATATCATCACTAAAAGAAATATTAGCTTAATAATATAAATGATATTAAAACATATAGAAGATAGCACTATGTATCAAACAATCCATTCGCTTATGACACAGTCATGGAAGATGATGCAGTAAAAGCTTGAACTGTCACTTCTCAGTCAGTATTTGAGCCATACAAAAAATACTTGTTTCTTCAATAGACACCATGTAAGTTTTGGAGCAAGATACAACAGTGTCAATAACATGATCATATCAAAAACAGAGTAGTTTATTATATGGGGAATTTTTTCTCTGGTTTAAAACAAATATGTATCTGAAAATGTTATCAGCACTGGGAACAATAAATCTATTCATAAAATTTGTCTGTAATTGAGGGAGACACTTCAAATTTAAGGACAGGGTTTTAAAATGCTATTACTTTGTCAGGAACAAGTTAATGTATTTTATGCACAGGGAGCATTTTATGACATTAATGATTAAAACTGTTAGGACCACTCATTTCCTAATAGTGAGGTAAACAAACTACGGTATATTTAATTCAAAGTGTATGGCCAATAGTTGTCATATTACCTATTAATGCTCTCATTGGTATTGTTATCTATGTAGTCTGTATAGTCCATAGGTCTCATATCAATACTCTCATTTGATAGGGTGTCTTTGTCAGGGCAGTGCCAAACGAAAGTTGAACCCGGGGCAAAGCATGAATTTAGGCATCCTCCTCCCCAAAAGTATAAATTAAAATACATATTTTGCATGAAAAATGACAATTATGGCGCCCTCTGAAGATGGCGCCCAGGCAGTTGGCCCCCTTCACATCCCCCTGGTCTGATTAGCTAGTGTATAGCCAATATACGTCATATCCATTAATGCTCTCATTTGTTATGGTATCTAGGTAGTTAGTGTATGGCCAATAGGTGTCATATCAATTAATAATTCTAATTCGATAGGGTGTCTGCTAAATCTCATTGTAAGTAAACACAGTGTCAAACATTTAAAATACACACACAAAAAAGGGTATTGCATTGTGGTTAGGGACTTTCACTCTGATAAATCTCTCTCTTTTTTTTTTTTTTTTTTTGCAAGCTGGTGAACTTTCATTTCCCCTTTCGTTAAATTCAAAAGTGTTCAAAATGATCCTAAACTGTTCATTTTGTCAGACCATGTCATACTCGACACGGTCAGTTTGATATATAGCAGCACGATAACTGTACCTATCAGACAGGCTCCTCTGGACTGGTTTGGTAGCCACACCTTGCTTTGCTCCTCCTATGATAATGGCTGTCTGTAATGGTGTTGCTCTAGTGGGTCCTGCACCCATTTCTTCATATTCTCCTATAGTGGTCTCTACTAATGATGGTTCTAGTTCTGGAAATGCGGAAAGCTTACCAAGCAACAGGTAACCATAGGTCTTGAAGCGTTTCAACTGTACAAGGAGGAGAAAATGATTTGATTTAGCAGAAAACTGAGGTTAGTAAACAAATATTGGTGCTGAGTTATTGTATCTCATTCACTGCAATTTTTTTTAAAAAATTGTTTTTGTTCACTTTAGTGTATTTCCTTTATTGCACACAAAGATAATTATTTTAAAAATTAATTTTAACTAAGTGAAAAAAAATTTTGGTGGAGATTTCCCTTCTCACTCATGAAATTTGGCTTAGGTTCAATTAAATGTCTACCATAGCAGATGGATACGATTTTAAAATTGTATACTAACCTCGAATTCTAAATACATCTCTTTTTCAAGGTAATCCTGAATAACAGAGGACTTAGCCCCTTTCTCTGGGGCTGCTGCTCTATGTGCATGTAGCTCTTGTTCTAAATCTTGCACTTTTGTTTCATGGCTGTGTAACTGCTCTCGCTAAGAATTTAAAAATTAAGACATTTTTAAATTCAGCATAAAACATAATTTGTTTCAAAAGTGAAGTTACTACAATAATTAAAGAAAACTTCCCCTTTTTAGTGTTTAAATAACCAGTATTAAAAATCTGAGGCCTTTTACTCTCATTTCAAGAACTATTTCAATATTAATGACTTGTATTCAAAAATATTAATCAAAACGTACGATTACAAAATTAAAAACTAAATTTTAATTTTTGTGTTAAAAAAATTTAAAAAATTAACATCCACATTACTTACTAAATTCAATCTTGTGTAGGATGCAGGCAGAAGCTGCCTCTGAAATTTTGCCTTTGATCCAACAGCTCCTGGGAGAGGAGGGGCTGATAATGATGCAGCTACAAGATTTATTGTGTCCACCCATTCCTGCAGTTCCTTGCTGTCCCTGGCAGAAATTAAACCCTAAATTAAAGCAGTATATGACTATCTAGGAGGTGATGTGGATAATACTATACAGATGGTCAATATTGAGATTGTTGTCTTTGTCAGGGCAGTGCCAAACAAAAGTTGAACCAGGGGCAAAGCATGAATTTAGGCATCCTCCTCCCCAAAAAGTATAAATTAACATACATATCCATTAAAAAAAAAGCAACTTTTTGTGGTATACATGAACCTGCATAAAATGCATGGTGGTGCTGTGCAGAAATGCTAATGAAGGGGAAACATACCCACAGATTTCTATGAAACAGAAACTTCTGACAAAAAAAAGTTTCCGTTATAATACCTTTCAGTTGAATAATATGGTCATACTCTATATGGTGCTCTAATGAAAATAAATACAACTCAACAATGACTTACCCTGTTTGAAATAGATACTCGGCCCCATTAGCTGTTTGTAGCCTAAAAACATGCTGCTTTTTAGTATAATCTGTGGCTTTAGTAGCAAGTGCATGGTGGATGCGAATGGCATTTTGAGAACTTTCAACAAAATGTCCCTTTTTTAACTGATGCTCATCTTTATATTGGTAAAGAATCATATCTCTGAGAACAGCATATAGCATTTTCCATCCTCTCTTTCCAAAAGGAGCTAAATAAAAAATTGGATGAAAGAAGTTTTGAAATTAAAATATTTGATATAAGATACTGAAAGATTAGGCTATGCCTATGATTTCTGTCTTTCCAATTAAATTTTCTAAATTTGAGATTGGGAAAAATTTCTTTAAAAATATATTCATGTTTCTACCATTTAGAGAATTTAATCTTGTCAAGGAGCAATAAGGTTAATTAAGAGCAATAAGGTTAATTAAAATGCAATAATAGGGAAAGTTAGCCCAATGTACTTTTTCTTCGATCTGGCTCCATACAGCATTTCCTCATGACATATCCTTTTTTATATTCTGTGGTCTTGTTTGGATCAGGTACCTGTAGCATGCACAACAAATTCAAACAATCAGTTACAAAACAGTCAAAGCATAAGGTGTGATTTTACCTAATTTATTATTGCGTAGCCTGCATAGCTGTACTGTAAAGCATATACATATTTCTGGACAAGTGAAGTAAGTATTTTACCAACCACACTTAGCATTGTTGGCTATCATTAACTAGAACAGTGCGGTGAAAAAACTATTTAACTTAATGAAGGCTAAAAAAATAAATTTGATTCATTAGTAATTTTACATTTGAACCCTTTGATAATTAATATGTGTGAATTGCCAGCGTATGACAGTCATCTTGAAACAATGGTGTACTTATTGACACCTCTACACAACTAATGAGTTCTATAGCTGTAAAAATATTGACCTGGAAAAAAGCTCACCTCAAGGAATGGATTACTACCTAAAGTTTGAGGCGATGGCGCCTGTGAAGATTGAATCTGATCTTGCAACTGATTTCCTTCCATATCAGGAGGGAGCTCATCACTGAGTAAGAAAAAGGATAATTTCACTTACAGGTGCAAAAATATAATTTTTGTAGGAAGCTTGAACATATCAGCAATGTAAAGTTTGGCCAAAAAAAAATAAAAATAATACCAGTTGGAAATTTGGTAGATCTAACTTTTCTAATTGATTTCTAAACTTGCAAATGACACTGTCTGTCAACTCACAAATAGCAAGCACAATGCTTTTGGGTTGGTATATTATTAGGTAAAATAGACAACAATATTTTCTCAATGACTAAAACCTTTATGATCTTTGAATATTAAGAAAATCATTTGGGGTTAAAAAGGTCTGAAATTATCCATGAGAAAAGTTAAATTTTTAAATTAAAATCAAGCAAAACATGGATCAGACTAAACTATCATGTTATCAAACTATATTATCATCATAACAGGTTCATAAATATACATATTTCTCCCGGCTTTGTTCGACCTGAATGAAATATTTTTTTTTTTTGTACCGGTACGGATAAATAATAATGGTGCTAAAATGAACATTGAAAATTGGCCTTAAATATATTAATTTATAAATAAAATTAGCTGAACTTGTTTTTTTTTTAAAAATCATGCAGACAAAGGTTGGTGGACATTTTGTTAAAAAACGGACAAGGCAACACTTAAATTACTGCCTATTTAAATCACCTAAAACCAACAATCCAAACTCTACACACATGTAACTTTTAAATTTTATTCATATAAACCTTAATCATATCTTATTATTAAAAAAAATATTCAAGACCATTTATTGTGGTGCTTCTCCACCATAATATTATTAAATATAATACTTACATAGCCCACTCTATAGGCTCATTTTTAATAGCCTGGTAAATTGCCTTAAGAACCTCTTTGGAAAAATTCTCTCCATCATTCAGTTCAGCAAGATTTTCAATAAATTCCTGGCATGTCATTCTCCTTCCTACATTCTGTAAAAGAAAGTTAAGTTCACATCAGAAGCAAGGTTGTTTTTTCTCTTTATAAGCAAAATTATATCTATGATTGAGTATTTCTTGCCTAACATTGCATTTCAAGAACACAATAAGCTTAGTTTTACTGGTACTTTACTACTTACTGGAGCGTGAAGGTCCGAGTTCAGTAACATTATTGCACAGGTTAGAGTATGACAAGCATCTGCAATGCACAAGTATTCATTTTAAAATATACAAATATGTTAAAATAATAGCACATGTTGTATCTGTAAGTGTTATAAATACACAATAAAAATCTTTAGCATTCCTGATTATGATATTTACCCTCTGAATTGAAAGATCCTGGGTTGCACTCCATAAACCTTCTAGAGAAATGAGCCAGAACACGTTCCCTCTCTTGAGTTTCTCCATATAATGAAAACTGTGTCAAAAACTTTCGGAGCGCGAGGTCTAACGTGTCTTCATTAAAATCAAAATACTTCAAATACTCCTCTGCAACAAGATTGCTGAAGTCATTCCTAATGTGAGGGGAAAAGTAAATATTAAGATCTCATAAAGCTAATGAATTGGTACCAATAACTTTACAAGTAAAATAATGAAGTGTTATAGAATTAGTTACTATTTTCAATAATAATATTCTTTTTACCTTGTATTTATCTAGCAAGTTAACATTCTCATAGAAGAACGTGACACAGTCTAATATATCTCTTGGCACTATTTATATTTATGACGCATTCATTTGCTTACACTAACCAGGGGAACACTAAGCACTAACTCTCAACTAAAGGAAATGGTTATTAATTACCAAGTTCGACGAGGGATACAAAAATGGAAATAAATCAGTCAACTTACTTTTTACATAAATGTCTGGAGACATCTGACTTACGGAAACCTTCCAGGTTAAATAATCTCTTGGCTAGCCGTTCAGCACTAGGTCTGTCAACAGCTTTGCTGGGCTGGTGATACAAACTATCTGTATCCGAATCATCACTCAAAACACTGAGTTGCAGGGGGTCACTGGAAGAAGTGTCCTGAATTGATCTAGATAGTCCATCACCACTGGGTCTCTCTTCATTTCTATCCCTATGTGTGCCATTATGTCTGCGCGAAGGTGAGGCAGCACCTAAATTTGTTAGGAAATTCCCTGAATTGTTAATTTCATTTTTTTGTCCATCAGTCAAGTTAATGTGTGTGACAAAATTATCCTCATCTTTTTGTTTGGTATGCTTTAATTTTATTGGTTTTGTATCTTCCAAGCTAATAAATCCTGGTATAAATTCCCGTTCCCCCGTGGAGGATTTCTCTGACTTTTTTTCAGGAGAATTATCCAAACTTCTGGAGGTCTGCACAGGTTCCGAAGACACATTATCTAAGGAAGAGTTTGAACTGTCATGATAAGTTAGAGTGTCAAGAGAGTAAGCTAAATTATCTTCAATATCTATACTTACAAGTGCTATACCTGTCCCAGCCTGAAGGTAATTTTCATGAGACTTACTTGTACGAACCAGTAGTCTTTCCCCTCCACCATGAACAGAAAATTTTTCCCCACTACTGCTAGCAACCATTGTTGGCCTATGAGTCTCAATCTGCCCATTCACAGACTGTCCAATGTTATACAGTGAATTGTCTGATGCGCCCTCTCTATCTGTAAGAGTTTCATTGGAGACAAAACTTTTTTCCTTTGAAAGAATTTGATGATTTCCATCAAAGGCTCTGTCATGAAACTCATGATCTGACGTATGCCCATCATAGGCAAATCCACTATCTCCCGAGCTAGGTGGCTCTGAAAATAATGGAGTCTTTAGGTTGTTGCTGTCTTGATATGTTTCATGCAGTTTTCCAAATGACTCACCAAACCTAATGGCATCATTATGTAAGGGTATTGACTGAGGTAACTCAGCATGATAATGTGCAGGAAGACCTAGTGGAGGAGTAGGTGAACCATTACCTAAACCAAGTTCACTCTCAGAACAGGATGACTGAGAGAGATCAGAGAGTTCCTCCATTTCGGCGACGGGTGCCTGAACCAGGGGGAACTCTCTAATATGACCGGCTGTAGCTGCCATGTCTGGAAGTGGTGGCGAGTGATTTTGATGAAGAGATGACAAATAAAGTTGCTGTTGGTTCTTTATTGGTCCTGGCAATTTTGTAGAAAGTTTAGGTGAGGAAACAACACCTTGCTGCTGTGGTTTAGCTACTTTTTGTTGATGCTGTGGCTGTTTTTGATCAATCTGCCCTAATCTAGGTATATGACTTTCCTTGGGTTTAGTTTCTTGGTCTTGTCGAACAATCTTTTGAGTAGCAAGAGGATTGGTATGAATAATCATCTCTCCAGTCATGAGAAATGTTTCAAATCCTTTGCCACTGGAAAGTGGTAAATTGTTTTGATCTTGTCTTTCATTGCTTACATTTCCATTCTCCTTGCTGTGAGTTATTGATGGCTGATAATGTGTTGGTGATATATTATGTCCGTCTGCAATGTCTTTGACAAAAATTGCAGTTACATGAGGTCCTGGAGTTGGGCTGGAAGGTGTTTTCACGGGTAATGGAATACGAGAAGGGCTTTGAGTGGCTCGACTAGCCATCTTTCCCCTAAATGCCACAACAATAACATCTGCTCTTTTAATCTGAAATAGATAAATGAAAGTTGTGTCATTTATTAAAAACAATTTGGCAATTTAAATTAATTTGTATAATTGTGATAGTACGGAAAAGCTCTTCACTTGATTTCCTATCAAAATCAAGCCTGTCTCATGTAGCTACCAGATTTTACATTTTTAACAAAATGCACGCAAAAAGAAGCTACTGGTTATTAGAGAATACTAAAACTTTGCAAATATGCACAAGTAACTACTACATTGTTTTCCCATTGAAAATGCAGGTAGGTTACTGTAACAATACAGAGCAAAATAGTCTCACAGTTAGGTTTTATTATCTATTATTATTATCCAGTTTGTTTCCCAAGTGAAGTTTAAAAAGAACATAAAATATTTAATTATTATAAAGGTTCCGCCTACAGATAATTACACCAAATTCTTTAACCAACTTAGATGACTTAGGTTTGTAATTTCAAGGACATTTAGCAGTGATCATATTTAAGATTTTTAAAAATTATAAACAACTTCTCCACTTTGGAGGAACAAAATCTAAGCGTATTCAGAATATTCCCATTGTTACGATTTTTCATAAAGAATTAAAAATACTCGGTAAGCCCTCTTAGTACTATTTATTGTATGCTGTCAAACGGATGTTGATGATGTAATAGACTTCCACCAACATCAGAGAGTGACCAATGTCATTAAGCGTTGATTGATTTACATGTCACATGTCATCTTATTGAGCGGGCCAGAGAAGCGCTATGACTATGAGCAGACCAGGGAAACATGAGCAAACCAGGGATTTCGATTGTAGGTGTAAACCAGAGACATGGTGGGTGCACATGATCTTGAAATATAGCTAGGGATGAAGAATGTCTCAGTGGACTAGATTTCGCTTGCATAATAAACAATACATAACAAAGGACTGAGAAAAACAGTATGAAAGGAAAATGAAATAAAAGCTAATGGTACCAACAAGATATCCACTACTGTAAATGTGTGGATGAATACTACAATTTTATGACAAAAATGGTCATTTCATCAATGAAAAAACACCAATGTTCAACAATTAAAAGCTCAGATTCTTATGTGCTGATGCCCATTTCCCATACAAATTTTGAAGTTGTCTCCCTTGCCTTACCGAAGTACCCACTATAATAGAGTAAAAGGGCAGTTCAGGTGAGTATATTATTTCAGATCGAAATTCGTATTGTTGCATTACAAACTTATTACATTCTTATGTGTATGCTTTATTAAATTAAATCGAGGCATAATAGTTAACTAACACTAACTTTTACAGCACTAATTTTTCCTTTTTTTTGATTTCTACAGCCCCCAATGTTACATAGTCGGTAGTGTAAAGGATCTCTCCATTTTGTTGTTTGTTTTTTTCCCCACCCTATGTGCCAGATTTTTTCACCTATGAGTTTGGTGTGCTAAATTAATTTTTAAACTGAAGGCATATTCACAAAAAGAAAGAAATACTGGGGTGTTTTGAACTTAATTATATGTTCCCTTTTGTTCCCGAAATTCATCTTTTACTTATAAGTGTATGAATATAATTCCAAACAAAGGCTCCTCCATGGGTGAAAAAGGAGTTCATTATCCATAATATACCAGTAATGAAGGGCATTGAACTCAAACTTTTAGTGTTTTTTTACACTAGCCAACATACTCAGCTTTGCTCAGGATGAACATTTCTTCAGCCTTTGAGCTTACACAAAATTTAAGGGGCCTGTAAAAAACACAACAATAATTTAAATTTTTTTTCCTCCTTTTAAAAAAATGTCAATAAAATACGATCTAAAAGGGATCCCATTTCCAGTTTGGATCCCTTCCCAGTTGTGATACCATTTCTCAGTATGAGGTGAGATTGTAATGGAATCCTGCGCCCAGTGAGTTCTTGTTTCTCCGATGGGATCCCTTTCAACAATGACATGTTTTCAGATGAGATGTCATACCCGTTGAGATCCTGTTTTTGGTGGTTCCCTGTTCCTGGTCTGATCTCGTTCCCCAGTGGAATAATAAAGGAAGGGTTTAAATTTAATTTCTAGTTTCGTTTTTTTGTGAACATGCCGTCAGTTTGAAAATTGCATTGACCATACCAGATACCAACTCATATATGTGAACAAGTCTGGCATGAAGAATAGAAAAAAAAGTGGGGAGATTGTTTTCACTACTCTCCACTGTGGGCTGTAAAAATCAAATAGAAGTTAGTGTTTTACAATTTAGTGTTAGTAACTATTACTTATTACCATTACTATTACTGCCCGGAGTTAATTTAATTAAGAATACACAGAAGTTTACATGCGAAAATACAAAATTCTATTAGAAATAATAGGCCTATATGCAGCACCTAAACTGCACTTTTACCCTGTAATAATTTTAAGATACCAGCACCGGTAACCTAAAATCTAGTGTCAACAAAAGCACTACTACTAATTACTAAGTCTACTGCTACTAAGACTAAGGCTACTACATTTAATTCAGCTTGGCTTATTAAACAGTGACAGAGACAGGAGTTGGCAATTAATCTAATTACCTAATATTCTTATAATCAGGAAAGTAGTGGATATGTCAGTAGTCTAGATTTTAGTAAGTTTTTTTTTTTTAGAACTACCCCTTCCTAATCTAATCATTAATCTAATTTAATTTAGTCAAGCATTTTCATTTTATTTCAACCAAATTATTATATTAAATCTTTAGCTTTCTTTTAAGCAGTCTAACTAAGAAATATTACGCAAATAAATGCTTAATCGATAAAAATTAATATTACTTCAAAACAACAATGTTATTTATTACTTTTACGTATGACACTTTCTCTCTCTTTATTCATATTTCATTGTCACTCATTGTGATAACAAACATCTTGGATTTTTACTTCGCTAACTTCCGCCATGCTAAATCTCGCAGGGCCTCGCGGAGAATTTTTTTTTAACTTTCTCGACCAGAGAAATAGTCAAATTTAAAATTGTCATTACATGAGCTCAATGCAAAAGCAGTTTCATATATTCACAAACCATTTTACAAATATATTCACAAATATAATTAACCAACTAGTTTTAAATTAATATAACTTAATATTAATATGTCCCATGCTATAATTAAATCTAAAGTAATTCAAACGTTTCGAATCAAGTAATTAAAATATGTGGAATTAAATTTACAGTTCAGTTTACAAGTTTAATGTAATTTGTATTTATTTTTACGAAGATGAAATTTGAATACTAGCATCGAAATATATATGAATCTCTTATATATTCATATATTTAACTAGAAGAAATTACGAATTTTCAAGAATGCAATAAATCGTGAAATAGGATGTTTACTTTCAAATTTAATATGCAACAAAAATAACGTATGTAAAATTATTTAAAATGTATTTAGCGATTTTAGCGATAATTTAACCCAGAAAATAGCTAAAAATGAATATAGATCATTTTAAATTATTTGGATTGGCTTATTCACAGCCGAGGATGGATTGATTACAATATATTTATAGCCTACTTAATTTCATCAATGGAAAGTAAATTACATTCTGGCATATAACAAAATGATCAAGATAAGGTTAACCATATGACTACAGTACACACTACACACAAACACAGAAAAATGGCAGATAATATGAAGGGATCAGTCTTAGTAAGTCTTTATGATTATGAAATCAAATTTTAATTAAGCCCGCTTTTTTAAAGACGGTAAACAACGTTTGAATAAGATCGGCTGAATTAAAATAAATAATCTCGAGATATTCTGCTGTTAAAGTTAAGTACACTAAATCATAATAATATAGTGAGTCACTGTCAGTCAGAGTGTGTGTCAGTAATTAGTAATAGTCAGCGTGACTGTCACTAAGACACTGATGACTGTCACTCAGTCACTGTCTCTTGTTTTTCTTCTTTTGAAAAAACAATTATGCCTAGGCTAGTAAATGTAACATTAGACTTTGTAATCTTTAGGCAGTTTAGGTCTAAATGAAATAAACAATTTATTACACTAATTAACTATTTACACATTCACATACTAATTCTATTCAAATTCTATACTAATACTAATAATATTAAATTATTACTACTATACTTTTATTTTTATATATAAATAATATAATATATTATTATATATTTGGTAAATTATGAGAGTGGTACCCGGGGTTTCCCAAGCATGGCCGCCATCTTTGTTGACATGATCCGTGAGAAGGTCACGGATCATGTCAACCAAGATGGCGGCCGACCCAAAAAAAAAAGTAGTGCAAAGACACGTATTGTACAAAAAGGGAACGGTTGGGGAGAATGCGTTTTATCAAAAAACTTACCGAAAGATCGAAAATAAGCAATATTACAAGAAAATTTAATTTTCAAGATAGGAAAACACACAAATATATAGTAATCTGTGAAAAATATTTTAAAGAAAATGTAAAATGTAAAGAAATGGAAGAAAAAAA